ATATACCTCATTAGTTTTTTTTTGTGATAATAGCAAATTTATTAGCCCATCAGAATTCACACACTGTTTTATTAGCATAAATTTTTATTAACAAATGGATATAAAGAATTATCATTCTTTTGTGCTGTTTTGAATTTTATCATTTAATCGGTACATGTTTATTTTAGGCTGTCTTTGAAGGTATTCGTGGGGATGGAATTCGAGGTGATATAGCTATTGACGATATCTTAATAATGTCTGGGAGCTGTCCACCACCTGGTAAGACATAAATATGCAAAGTCAGAAATATACAGTATTTGAGGTTTGTGGTGCATGAGCCCTTCTTCCAATATCAGAATTTAGGGTTCAAATCTTGTTAATTACAAGGAAATTGTTTTTAATTTATAAAAAAAGGAACCTCAGTCCTTAAACATCATATTGATATATATAAAGCATCAGTGTTCATGAGGAGTCCTGCTGTGTGTGAGAATGATTTTCAACCTGATCCGAGAGGTCTGAGTTAAAGTGCTTCTGAAACTAGAATGTTTTTTTAACTAAAATTTGTCTTTTATAAACATTAAACCCCTCCTTAGCGTTTAGACTATCCAGTTTTCTTTGACAAAAAAAAACTGTTGCATAAATGTCCCTCCTAACCTGAAAGTTGTCTTAAGCGCCCCGTTTGAATAACTTCCCCCTAAATTTTGAATAAGCGCCCCTCGATTCCTTAAAAAATTCAATCATGCTGTACAGAACCAACTTAATTTTCTACTTCAACTATTTGCATCTATCTTAGCATTGTCAAGCAGTCAGTCCATCTATCTATCTGTCGGTCTATCAAGGGTCAACAAAATAAACTGACCTCATCAATCTTGTATCTAAACAAGAAACCATGCAATGATCCTTCTAATCTGAATTGGCAGATGGCCAACACGTTTACCACCACCACCAACACTACCATATTTTCATCTGCTATTGTGTAAATACCCCAAACATTCTTGTCATGAACCATGCTCTCTCAACGATTACCTTTTCTTCACCAAAACCATTTGTTTATTTTATCTATTATTTCTTTTTATGCCCATATATAGGCTCATCATGACTTCATATGGTCATACAGGCACTTTATGAAAATATTATTATTATTTTTCTTTTTTCCCAGGCTCCTGTGATTTTGAGACCAACAAATGCGCATGGCAGAATGATGTAGTTGATGATGATTTTGATTGGATGCGAAGTAATGGAGGAACACCCAGCGCATACACTGGACCTTCAGTGGATCATACCACAAACACTGCCCTTGGTAAGGAAATGGCAACTGTGAGCCAATCAACAAATAGACAGTGGTCAGCCAGTGCGCTGAACTGTGGAGTTCATTTTTGGTCCCTGGTTCAATTCCAATCGCTGCTCAGCTGGAGGGCTGAAGTACAAGTTACGATAGCTCAACTTTGTTGGATGAGATGCTTTAATCCTGTGTGCAATATGCCGCATGTGTATGTTAAGGAACACAGAACACTACTCTTAAAAGAGTGGGAAATTGACTTTTGGTGTCTTGCCCAACTCACCATTAGAAGGACCCCACTGGAGTGTTTGATACTCTGTACTAGATGTAAAATGGTTCATGGAATGAGATAGAAAATTACATTGAAATCAAGTGATAATGTAAAGTTTGACTTATAATAACCATGAAATGAAATCTCAATTATATATATTACTTATAATAATTGACTTTCAGCCAAGCCCGTCAGCGAAGTTCCCACAAAACAACATTGTTATTGACATGTACGCTAGACTTAGGCTAATTTTTCTCTCTCGCGTGCGTCACGTTGCATTTGAGATTTTTGTCGTCTTGGAGATGAAAGAGTATTATTTAACGATCATTGACTAGTACTCAAATAACCATGGAATTGTCATTTTAAATCAATCTCACTTGACATGTTGTCAATTGATCAAATTAATAGAATATATACAGGTGTTGTATAACACTTCCTGTTAAGTTTGATTGACAGTCTAGAAAAATCCATGGCAGTGTCAGTGTCATTTATTTTTGTTCATAATGTATATTAATGTTTGAATTTCATTCACTCATCAGGTTTCTACATGTTCATCGAAACATCAGTTGGAGTAAAGGATGATAAAGCTCGGCTTGTTAGTGCTCATTTACCACCAACTGTAGGATCCTGCTTCTCATTCTGGTTCCATATGTATGGACAAGGTCTGCTATTTCACTTATTCAAATTAACCTTGTGTCCTGCAATGAAAAATAATATTGGATGCTGTCTTTGCTCATATTTAAATAATTTATTAACTATTAAAATACAAAGAATTTTATCATATAAAACACACTTATAAATACTACCATTCATCTATTGTAATAAAATTAAGGATTTAAAAAAAAAAATCTGTATATTTATTGTTTTCATATAAGTCGACTTAGGCAAGTTCAACTGTACATATAATTTTTTTTCCCAATGAATTGTGGGTTTTCCCCCCGACCCGGCTCTCCAAATCCCCCGCCCTCTGGCACCACCATTGAGTTCAGCACAAGATGGTGTGAGTTCCTGGTTATTGCACTACCTTTATTCATTCTTTTAGGTGTTGGTATATTAAATGTGTACATGAAAGACTCGACTGGTGTGTACATCCCTAGGAGCACGTATTCTGGTGATAGGGGCGATGTCTGGCATCAAGCCACCACAACTATCATCACAGCTACGGAGTACCAGCTGGTTATTGAAGGATTACACGGGGGAAATTACACATCCGATATTGCAATTGATGACACCAACATCGCTCAGGGCTCTACCTGCACAGGTACAAATAGGGAGATTTTATAACCTTACGAAATGATAACAAATGCGTCATCATTATCATCATTCATGCCTAAAGCAGTCTTGACAATGTGCTGTAAAAGCTGTTATATGATCCTTGATTCATGCAAAAGGCATGAATAGTCGATACGCTACTGTTAGGGAAGGGTTGCCTAAAGATTTGATCACGTATTTGTTATCGTTTTTGTAACCTTGAGAAAACTCCCTATTAACAGTTTGTATAAATATATTAATTTGTTTTGGTATGAACATATGAAATAACAGAAGGCATCAAAAAGCAGAAATCAAAATAGATAAAAATAATATTTGTTGAAGACATGCAGTGATTTTTCTGTGATCATTTTTACATTGAGTTAAATGGCTACTTACATATGCTACATGTTTCCATGGAACCTGGACAAAGTTGCAATTTAACATTCACTTGTTGCACTAGCCGTCATTATGTTGAAGACACTGTCATTTAACCATGAGAATGGTTGACATTCACAGCCATTGAGTTATTTTTCCCTTCAAATTTGATTGTGTGGACAAGGTTTCAATTCTCATCACAAACTTTCATCTACAGTGGACATAACAACACCGGCAACAGTGCCTACACCGATGCCAACCCAGGCTGCAGGACCAAATGATTGTAACTTTGAAAATGGCAACATTTGTGCCTGGAGCCAGGACCAAAATGATGACATCAATTGGTCTGTGCGGCAGGGACGCACTGCTAGTGACAACACAGGTCCTACAGCTGACCATACCAAAGGAAATAAGGATGGTAAATACATATGCAAAATTATTGCAATATATGCAATAAGATATATGCATTAGATAATATAAATTGTAAATTAGAGTACAAAAAGATTACTGTTGAAACACAGAGTTTAAGGCCAAAAAATTGTTTATGTTGTCGAAGCTTGGCTGTCCAAAATTTTTACAAAATCTTGAGAGCTTTAGCTGTTGTTTGGTGCAGTAATAGTTTTTCCTTCATGAATGAGCCCTAAATACTTGCATGATGTATTAAGATCTACTTTTCAACCTTTATTTGATGAATTTGGTATGGATTTTAGCACAGTGGTAATCATTTTTACAAGGCAAAATGCATGGATTGAGTGATGGTTTGCCTTGAATATTAGGTTTTGGCATAGGATTATTAAAAAAATCTTACTGTATATTGCTTTTGTGGTTGCTGAACAATGTAAGCTATTAGACAGGTTGCAGGTTTTAAGCAAAGTACTTAAAAGAGTACTTTAGATATTTATTTCCTAAGGTATTTTAATTGTACATTATTTTTATACTGTTCAGCACTTTAATCATATTTGGAAAAGCGCTTTAAAAATGGTTTTATGTATTACTTATTTACCTAATATTGATTATTTATTTTATTTATTAATTTATTTTATTTAATTTGTTATTATTTATTTATTTTATTTATTGATACAGGGGAAGTACATTGGAGAAACAGCTATTACTCAACATAATTTTCTTTGACATATTGACTTTTGTTTAGGTTACTATATTTATCTTGAGGCAAGTGGAAAGCAGGTTGATGATAAGGCTCGTCTCGACAGTGCTCAGCTGACATCGACTGCACAAGGAACGTGCTTGCGCTTCTGGTATCACATGTATGGACGACACATCGGCTCCCTCAATGTGTATGCATCGTCAAGTGTAACCAATCTGGGTGAGAAAAATATATTTCCATTTTATAAATCTAAAAATAATTATTAATTTTAAATAAAAGTGCACAAAGTACAATTTGAACTTTATTTGTTGTTATTATTATTATAACATTATTATTAATATTATTGTTATTAATTTTATTATTACTGTATTATTATTATTATTATTATTATTATTATTATTATTATTGTAGTTTTTAGTATTATTTTTGTTCTTAAGTCATTGTTATTATAGCTATAGTGTCTCTTTTACTGATAACACCATTTCTGATTGCTTAATATAGGCCAAGCCCTATGGACACGTCAAGGTGAGCAGAGTTATGATTGGGTGTTTGGACAGGTCATGGTAAATATCATTTCTGGTCAATTTTACATCATCTTTGAGGGAGTACGTGGAGATGATTTCATGGGTGACATCTCACTGGATGATATTCAGGTCTCCGATGGAGAGTGCCCACCAAGATGTAAGTTTTTCATCCTAAAACTATGTTTACCATTCAGAGAATCTATGTATCTATTCTCATAATTCATGTTAAAATTTTACCTGTATTTTTGATCTATATTTTTTGAATACTAGAACATCCCTTTTAAAATAATAGAACTGTCCATCCCAGGGTATTACATGTTCCTGTTAACAACCACATGTTCATCCTCATTTCTTTATCATCAACATATGGATGCACATGGAGTGTTATTCAGGCTCTGAAAGTTAGTGTTTAAATCCCAGACTGGCCATTTTGTTGTCCCTTTATGTATGACTGGGCACCAGAAAGTGGAGAGCACTTAGTTTGGTACTTTTACCAATGATCAGTGCAATATTATATAAAAATAATATTATTATTATTATTATTATTATTATTATTATTATTATAACACTGAAAAATACCATATAAATGCCAAAATCTTTTATTATTATTATTATTATTAATTCTAGATGTTTACATTTTTTTTTTATACTATTAATTTATATTTTATCACATGTATTGTATTAATGTTTAATTTGAAAGGGGCTCAAGCTCGATTAGCTTTGGCTATTTTTCTTGGCTGCTATTGCATACTATCGTACCTGTATTCTTTTTGTTTTGTATGCAATAAAGAGAAATAATAAAATCATTATTAACAGTCATTAATTATTTTCCTAGCTTTCTGTGATTTCCAAGACGATGATATTTGTGGCTACACACAAGATACTCTAGATGATTTTAATTGGTCAAGAGGAAGTGGACGAACTTTGACCATTCAAACTGGTCCTAGAGCTGACCATACATATGGAACATCTGAAGGTAACCACTGCAATACTTACTTCAACATGATTAACATATTGGAGATATGCTTATATACATAAATTTGAATTGGAATTTAAGGTTGAAACTTTAAATTTCAAAAAACGAAAGGTCCACTGATTAATCTCGGATGAGATAGTTTAATACATAGTCCAAGTATTGAAATACACGCCATCGTGTTGGGATTCAATATTTTGACATTAATTATGTCATCATCAGGAATTCCTGATGATGACATAATTAATTTCAAAATATTGAATCCCAACACGATGGCGTGCATTTCAATACTTGGAGTATGTATTATACTTTCTTAAATTTCAAAGCACTGATTCCAAAGTAAATGACATTACAATAGAATAATTGTTCTTTATTTGGTACTCAATAAGTGTCAGTCTTTACTCAGCTATGATATTCTCCATTTGAATGAGAGCAGGTTAGCTCAGTTGGCTGAACTGGTGGTAGTCACTGTGTGCGCTGAGCCCTGGACAGCTTTTCAGATTTTTGATTCCAGTTTAGTTTCATCATTGCTCTTCTTGCTGGAAAACTGAAATATAAGCAATTTGCCTTGAGGATGAGATATATAAGCGAGATTGTGGTCTGTGTGCACTATAAAATTGAATTGTTTTTGAAAGGGATAATTTTTTCTTCCACCTTTTAGGCTACTACATGTTCACTGACAGACGCTACCTCATAGTGCAGGAGGGGGATAAGGCTCGTTTGTACAGTCCAACGTTCAATCCCCCAGCAAACTACTATGGCTGTGTTTCATTCTGGTACCATATGAGAGGTAAGGTACTATCCCCCGATATCCTAAGTAAAATTTCAAGCTCTGTGATTGGGTATCAATTAACCAATCATATTAGGCCACATACTATTAATACTATGTGATTATTATAATTTATTACCTATTTTCAACATCTGAAGCGGTTTGGTGCAGCTGGAACTGCTTGGTTTCCTAACCTCGAGGTCAGGGTTTCAATACCTCGCTGTGCATTTCACTTGTGTCCTGGGGCAAGGCACTTCATCTCCATTTCTTCTCTCCACCCAGGAGTATTAATGGGTACCTTGTGGGTTGCATGCTACTGTGCCAATATAGCAACAACGCTTAAGCGTGAGGACCCAATGACCAGGGAAAACAAAGTGCTTTGTAACCTAAAGGAATAGACGCTATATAAATACTAAATAACAAATAACATCTGATTATGAATAACTTAACCACTGAATTGTTGGTCATTGGTATAAATTAACAATTATTTATTATTGTTATTAACAGGTGATGATATCGGATATCTCAACACATACCTGAAGATAAATGGCGTCCTTGAAAACAACCCAATTTGGTCGTTCGGCAACATCCAGACCGATGACTTCTGGCGTATTGCACGTCAGAGCGTCTTCTTAACAGATGTCTTCCAGATTATGTTTGAGGGAGTTGCAGGTCGTCAAGAAGAGGGCGACATTGCAATTGATGACGTCCAGTTCTCCATCGGCATGTGCAGTGGTTTTGCTGGTAAATAGCAGCTAATTGTTTAACTTTATTTTTCCATATAAAGCACTAATTTAACTTAAAACCTAATATCATGAATGTTTGTGGAATGTTCCTGTATGTCTTTCAACCTTATTGTCCTTAAAACCTATTCTAAAATTTAGTACCAAGGAATTGAATTAACAAATTTACCAATATTCATAGACAAATACATCAATTAAAACAAAAAAGAAGCAAAAGGTTATCTACCATTAAAAATGTTTTCCATGGTATTTAAGAGAATGAAGTTTGTTGTTATTAATGATATAAATCATATCACTTCGTTTTTCAGGTTCGTGTACATTTGAAACGGATACTTGCGGATGGACTAACACCGTTACTGGAGATGAATTCGATTGGGTTCGTCATAGTGGTAGCTCTTACTCAGATATGACTGGCCCATCGTATGATCACACCATTGGTACTCAGAGTGGATGGTAAGTGATTACCTTATTTTATGACAATCTACTCCACCAGCAATCATTGTAGGCCATTACATCACCAGCCACTCACACATAGCAGACATATATTTGTTGGCCAATGCTATGTGTGTGCAGCTTTTCTCAAAGACAACATCACTTAATTTATTTATATGTTCCTTTTTTTTAGGTATATGTACATTGAAGCCTCTTTTCCGCGTGACACTGGTGAACGTGCTAGACTCGAGTCTGAAGGGTTTTCGGCAAATGAACCAAAATGTTTCCAGTTCTGGTATCATATGTATGGCAGCTCCACCGGGACACTCAACGTAAGACATAAGTTATACAAATGTATTTTTAGTAACCTAGTTTGTACTTTTTTTGGGGAAGACACACATTTGTTTTTTAATTAAAATATTTTTTTCTCAGCTTTACTCGGTTTCAGAGACTCAGACGAAGACACTCTGGACATTGTCAGGTGATCAGGGTGACCAGTGGACGTTTGCTATGGTTACAATTAATCCATCTAAGTACTATCAGGTATGTGGTCAATTGTGAAATCATCATTTTATCTCCAATGTAAATTTCATATCCCAAATTGTGCACTAATGTCCCATTAGTGCAAGGTTTGTTTGACTTGTGCGCAATAGGCCCAAACTTACCATGATATCATGGCAGTGTGGTTAGTGCTTTCAAAAATTGCCTGATCAGTGCCTGCATGGCAATTTTTCTATAAAAATAATGTGAATGGACATGAAATTCCACTTAAACATGTTTTTTTATTTCATTAGCTTGTATTTGAAGCAGTCGTTGGCGCAGACCATCTCGGCGATATTGCCCTTGATGACCTTGATTCAATTGATGGATCATGTATCACGATAAACCCAACGCCAACCGGGCCTGGGGGTAATTTTGACTGCGGCGATGGAACTTATATACCTATGAGTCAGAAGTGTGATTTTGTACGAGAATGCAGCGTGAACAACGATGAAGTTGATTGTGGTAAGATATTTTTCAAGTTTGTACTCCAATTTGCACAAGTTTATTAAGGCCTGGATTCATAAAATCACTAGACGCTGTCACCAACGACTGTCTGTGACATACAGTATTTCAGTTAAGTCAGCCAGACTTCCTGATACATTAAGGAAAGCTACTGTATGCAGTATAACAATTTTAGTGAAAAAAACCTGTAGTGACTGTAGCAAATTTATGAAAGCAGGGCTTTACTGATATTAATACAATATTTCCTGTGGTATTTACATAATAGTGCAAATAATAATAATAATAATATCACAAATTTATATGGCGCCAATTCCAAACAAGATCAAAGGTGCAACGCATGTGAAAAGCCACCGGAAAACAAATAGGTCTTAAGCTTTGACTTAAAGTTGCAAATAGAGTTGGAAGAAGTTATTAGCAAAGCTAATCAATTAATAAAATGTAATATTGCAAATTGATGTATACATTGCAATAAGATTGAAATCGTCAGATCACTGCAATCAGTAGATCAACTGTCTTTGTATTTTCAACTCATTAGGGCCTTGTGATTTTGAGAGGGGTCAGTGTGACTATGTGGACATCAGCACTGGTCCATTCAAGTGGTACCGTCGCTCAAACGCTACCGATACCCCTGCAACTGGCCCAGGATCCGACCACACCAATTTATTTGGCGACGGCTACTACATGGTTGTAGAGGCCAACCAGGGCCAGTACAATAGCTTCGCTGAGCTCCAGGGCCCTCAGCTTCAGCAGACCGGATCAAGTTGTGAGGTTGTTTTCTGGTATCACATGCTTGGAGCTGGTAAGTACCTGTATGGAGTCACTACTCCAGGATGACATTTTCTGTAGGCCTGTTAATGAATATTAATGAATACATAATGTATTTAGAAACATTTCTGTATACACTTCAATTTAGATCAATTTTATGTTGTTTGATGATCTCTGTCACTGCAGTATTCTTTGATTGAGACATTGGTCCTGATATCTCTCGGCAGATATGCTAAGGTTCTGTCTGTAACCTGTGAGCCAATAAACCATATATGCTATTTTTAATTCCTTAATGCATTATTCTTCATTTATTTCAGACATTGGCACACTAATATTGTCATTCAATGCGAACAACGAGAGAACCAGAGTCTTTGAGCTGTCTGGCAACCAAGGCGATAACTGGCAGCGAGCCAGAGTAGGAATAGGAAGGCGGACATCACCATTCCAGCTGTCATTCGAAGCCATCAGAAGCTTCAACCACGTTGGTGACATTGCCATCGATGACATAGATGTTAACAACTGTGCATTGCCTTCACGCCAGCCTCAGTGTTCTGATGGTCAGTTCCGCTGCTCTAATGGTGCATGTGTTAATGGCGCATTCTTGTGTGATCTAACAGATGACTGTGGAGACTATTCTGATGAAATGCAGTGTAGTAAGTATTTTTTTTGTTATCAAAATGTATTACTACCAATGTTATTATATTAAATAATTTATTATTACATCTTGGTCCATAATTTTGAATTATGTATTTGCAGACACATACTTAACGTGTGACTTTGAGAACAGTCTTTGTGATTGGTCGCAACTCAGAAACGATGACTTTGACTTTACACACACCTCGTCTGCACTGTCATCTAATGCTGCTGCTCCAAGCCGTGACCATTCCCGCGGTACAAGTGCGGGCTACTATCTTTACATTGACCAGAGATCCCCACGCCAGAAGGGTGACAAAGCACGAATTGGAAGTCCAAACTTTGATAGCAGTTCAAAGGGATGCTTTGTAAGACATTAACTACAATATCAATAATGAACATCTATTTTGTAAATGTTTTTAAATTACTTGATTAAGATATTACTCCAGGTATTTAGTTAGAAAACATGCGAATAGTGCTTTATACTTATTTAAAATGATTCGTTTCAGATGCGCATGTACTACCACATGTGGGGTACTGATGTCGGTAGCTTGAATGTCTATACAACTTCTTTTCGAGGAGGACCGCTGAACCTCGTCTGGTCACGTTCAGGGGCTGGAGGAGATTACTACGATCGTGCAGAAATTGAACTCATCGAATTTGACAACTATCGAGTAAATATAGGATATTTATTTATTTATTTATTTATTCAATTGATCATATTTAACTAGGGTGACCCTGCCAGCAATATTTGAGAAAACAGATCATTATAATCATGAGGAAAGAAGAGCAATAGATATTTTAATGCTTCTATTATCTAATTTTCTTTATAGCCTTATTTTCAGTTCAAACATATTTAAAATGTATTTTATTCTATAAAATATTAAAGTTAAACTCTATAGCTGTAACTTATCAAGAAACAAATTTATTTCTATTTTGGATTAAAGTATGTAATGATGATAATAATTATTGATGGTGCCCTCACAGAAAAAAAAGTGTCAAAGGCCTAAAAAATTAGAGAAGAGAAACAAATTACACTACCAAAGTAAAAAAGATATACCAGTATCAGCCTTTTAAGATTAAAGGTTACTCCTTCCAGTGTGCTCTTCCACCAAAGCCCCACCCCTTGGATATTGTTGCACATGTCCCACAAAACAACTGCTATTGTTAAAGGAACATGGCTGATTTGAGGCTATGTTTTTTTGAGACATGTGCATATTTCTGGCCCCGCCTATTGATTACCACATTCTGATTGGTCAGTTGTTAAATTTGATTGACGCTCAGTCATTCTACATGGTCATAGGACATGACCCCTTTAAGATATTACATCATTCAATTTTTATAAGAATAACTGGTAGTGGTACTGGCATTAACCAAGTGAATACAATCATTGATTACGTTATTCTATGACAATAGAAGTTCTGTCGCTTAATAATTATACTGCCCTCATGTGTTCAAATACATTCTTCTTAGGTCATAATAGAAGCTACCGTTGGGAATGGGGATGATGGTGCCATTGGTGTTGATGACGTCAGCTTCCTGCCGGAATGTATTCCGTATACCAGTAATCTTCCCATTGGAACTACACCGATTCCTGTGCCAAATCCTTGCAACGACAATTTCTTCAATTGTGGGGATGGTGCGACCTGCCTCCCGATAGATCGAGTGTGTGACTTCTGGGTTGATTGCTCAACTGGATATGATGAATTGAATTGTGGTAGGTTATCTACAAGAATATTTACTTGACTAACTTGGATTAATTTATCCCTTCATCTCATGTTTTAGCGCATTTAATTTAGCATCTTCCTCACTTCTTCGTATTTTTTCTCTCTGATCTGATTCCTATATATTTATTTTTTATTAATATCAGCTTCAGCTTTCTTTATGTATTATAACTAAAACTTATTTTAGATAATATTTATTATTTTATAGATTTCATATTTTTAGTTGAGAGGAAGAGAGAGAGAGAGAGACTTACTCTCAAGCAAAATAATTGATTAATGTATAAAATTATATTGTCATTTTACTATGATCATATAATTGATATAAGATTAATTTCACCAAAGTAACTGATAATAATGATGATATATCTAGTATAATTTGGTATTTATGTTTTTTGTTCAATAGGTAATTGTGAGTTTGATAATGCCGATCTTTGTGGTGGAAGAGATAACAGCAGAGGGCAGTTTGTGTGGAGGAGAGAAAAAGGTGGAAACAAGCCAAACCAACCTTCCTACGATCATCACAACGATCAAAATGGTACTTGTATATTATCAATATGTGTTAATTTTGTAAACTTTTCCACTGATCTATAATAACCAAAATGTTTAGGAAAAGGTAATAATAATATGTATATTTATACAGTGTCTGATACAATTGAAGAAAGTCAAAGCATTATGGATATGATAATGTCATATCTCACCCAGCCCCATAACCAGGAAGAGGGGTGGGGTGGTGGTTTGAAATGTTTACTACTGTATTGGCATTTTATCATAACATTTTTCTAATATAAAAACACTTGGCCTATAGGAAACCCTCTTCACATGAACCTGGTTACAGGCCTGCCACCCATATAAGAGCACTGTCCAGACTATCAAATTTTATTTGATAAAAACCTGTGACATGCCTAAATATTGTCATGATGATGTCACATCATGACCATATATAGGCACATCATAACTATATATGGGCATACAACAGTTTTTTGTCACAGAAAATGTGATAGTGTGGACAGAGCTCTACTTATAAAGTGAAAATGTAGACAGACCTTGAAACATGATTATTTATTTCCTGTTAAGATCCTGGTTTTTATCTGGCTGTGGAAGGTACGAATTCGCAGTTCTACAGCGCTGCGTACTTTGACACGCCAACGCTGGGATACATCGGTAAAGCTTGCCAGGTTGAGTTTTACTATCACATGAGAGGCAGCGACACCGGTGAACTTGCTCTGTGGGTTCAAAGTGCAACCAACATCTTTGACAACTACAAAGTTTTCTCTATATTCAACGCTAAGGGTAATAAGTGGGTGCAAGGAGTAGTTGCAGTAGGGGAACACCCTCCAGGTTACTATGTAAGTAAGCCTTCATTAAATTTTAAAAATATATCTCATCCAACAGTAAGCGAGTTGATTGGCCGAGTCAGGAGCACCGTAACCTTCAGCTATAATATCGGCGCTGGTTTGAACAGCTCACTTGTCAATGGTTCTGGTGGTAGAACTAGTCTTTTCGGATAAGGACTTTAAACCGTAGGTCCAGTGTACGCATTTGCTTGTGTGCCCCTTAAAGAACCCACTACATACTTCGAGAATAGTATGGTGTTACGCCCGTGTACTGGTCCATTCAGTCCCTGTCGTTTAATGGATATGCCATGTAGGATAGTGATTAGGTTCACTGATTAGTAATCCTTGGTGCTTGTGCCTAAATAAATAAAATGAAATGAAAAAAAAGCAACTCATCTGTTGAGGTGATACTGTATAAACTAAAGATATTTTTTGGATAGGACTATTTATGGTCAAACTAACCATTTACTTGGTCCCTTGAGCCTACAGATCATTCTCATGGCACAGTTTGTCCCAGTCAATCATTCTTAAGAAATTATGTATTGATATATAAAGATTTGCTTTTAACATTGAGATTAAATATGTATTGATGTAAATTGATATTTTGATGTTTATGTTCTTTTTTTTCTTTGTAAATTCTCCATGTTATTTTTATATTGCAATATATATTTTTACGTAAATATATTAATTTCACTTTTATTGATCGTCTTTAGCTTGAGTTTGAGGCGGATCCAGATTTCGGTGTTGGTTCTGTTACCACGGATGTCGCCATTGATGGTATCTCATACCATAACTGTCATATTTCCAATTTCCCTGGTAGCGATGGTAAGGGCCTTGGATCTACTTAAAGTACTTTTCCTTTGCGAAACACTTGTAAATTTTATTCAAATATAATTGAAATTAATGTTATATATGATTTTCTGAGAATTTTTATTTTCTGTATTTATAATTATTATTTTTATTTTATTTTTACAGGTAATTTAATTTGTGTTTTTATATATTAATGTTTTCTTTTATGGGCAGTGGATTAGACTATAAAGAATATGAATACTATGTTTGTGTTTGAGACACACACCTGGATTATTTTTGGTTTATTTTACATTTGCTTGCATAATTGTGTTTGTAGAAATGGATTGTACCTTTGAAAATGATCTTTGCGGTTGGTATCAATTAACTAGCGATGATTTTGATTGGACAAGGACTAACAGTCAAACCCCTTCAACAACCACAGGGCCTGGTTTTGATCACACTTTAGGAAACGGTAAGTCTTGATTTGATGTGCATATTTAGGATATTTAGTCAATTTTGTGAATAATTACCTGGATAAACTGGTGTTATTTTCCATTATGTTCAAAGGAAAATTTTCACAATGAATTTTGGGTCTATTTAGTGAATTCTTACGTGGATGAACCATTATAAGCCAGATTCCTAATGGAACTTAACCATTACCATACCAAAAATAATGGAATTGTCTAAACCCAGCGTATATTATACTTCAACCTTACGTAACAAGCCTCAAATTTCCATCCAGGCAAGGGTCTCACTCATAGAACAACAGCATCACTTCTGATTTGTGTTATTTATTGGTTTATTAAAGTAGGCTAACAATATCCTGACCAATATGTTTCCTCATGATCAAAATAAACTTCTACTCCTTTAGCTTCATGTGTAGCATGATGTGTATATGTCTTGTGAAAGGAATTGCCTCTTATTGTTAAGACATGAATAGTCTTTTTCGTGAATACTTACCTAGATAAACCTATAAATGCCTAAGTTTCCTTTGGAACTTACCTCTCGAGTATAAAAGAAAAATAATGGATAATCCTTGACGCATCAAGTCAAACTTGGTGCCTTCGCAATTCCCCATGTACCTAGGGGCTCTCATCAATCTGTGGGGATCAGTCGCGTCCTCGGAAACCAGGATACGCAAGTGTCTATTAGCCGTTTCTTGCCTACTGGCACACTCCAGCTCTACTTTGGCTCTGGGCTATCTGGCCAGTTTTGTGGATCTCATACCCGACTGCCGTCTTCACATGCGTCCCTTGCAACTTTATCTCCTGTCCCATTTCACCCCGTCCTCTCGGCATCTGGGGACCACTGTACCGATGACAACATTTGTTGCATCCCGTCTGATTTGTTTAATGGTCCTATTCAGGTTACTACTTGTATATTGAAACATCATCGCCAACCCTTCCCGGCTACAAGGCTCGTCTCACCTCCCATCCACAAGTTGGCTACACCGGTTCCAAGAAAGGCTGCTTTAGCTTCTGGTATCACATGTTTGGTTTGTCTATTGACACTCTCAACGTATACCTAAAACATGCCAGCATTGAAACAAAGATATGGACAAGGTACCAGACACAAGGGAATCAGTGGCTCAAGGCTGAATTGACCATCGACAGTAAGAAAAAGAGTTGGCAGGTAATTCAATATTTGTGTCAAATTCAGTATTTTATTATCTAGAATTTTGATTTGGTATACTGTATTTGTATATACCCGTTCACGATGTATCCATTCTATGTATATTATATGATATGTGGTGATTGCACTATTCTCTTATAGTAAATAGTATAATAATATGTGGAATTTTGCAGTAGTATTATTACAGAGCTTTTCTTGTATTGAATAAATACATAAATAGTAATACATTTTTTATGCTGTATAATATTGTAATCCACTTATTTCAAAATATTTTCTAGATTGTCTTTGAAGCAATCAGAGGCGAAACCTTTACTGGTGATATTGCTATTGACGACACATTCCTTGATGTTGGACCTTGCGAAGCAACAAGTTAGTCATTTCATATCTCAAAAACATTTGTTTTTCCTTATTGAAAGTCTCTTTAAACAGGAATGTACAGTACACAAACTAGTGGTATTCTAACGAAATAGTAGCATTTTTCACATTGTTGGTATTCTAGCTGATCTTTCTATCTGTTTGTGCAAAATGCAGAGGGTGTAATTTCAAACTCCAAAGACCCCCTTGCATTTAATGTGAGCTATATTGTATATTTTCCTCATTTTTTTTCAGAGGAATGCAACTTTGAGACCGGTTTCTGTGACTGGAAACAAGATAGCACAGATGACTTCAACTGGAAAATTGGAAACAATGGCACATCCTCACAGGGCACTGGACCACCAGTTGATCACACCATGGGCACAGAAACTGGTAAGACCATTTCTACCAACCACATTATTTATTCCTAAATATATGTCAATTTGATTTTAGACAGGGTCCTGGGTATTGTACTAACAGTACAAAAAAAGTAGGAAAAGCTATGACAACTTTGATTAAAATCACTCAAACAGTAAATTCATATGCGAGTAATAAATATTGTAATATATTTTACTACAGGATGTCTTAACACTCTATGAAAGATATTTTTTTTTTTAAATAAATTTTTCAAATGCCATAAAGACTAGATCTAGCTAAAGGTTTAGTATGTAAGTACACAGCTGAGAGACCTGGAATAATTTGATTGACATCATGCGAAATATATTTTGTTTAAACTATGATTTTCAGACCTTTCTAAGTATCTACTAGTATAATACCATTTTTCACTGCATGCTTAATATATTTGTACTAATTTTAAACTTGCATTGGAGGTATAAATTTAGGACTAAAGTTTTCATTTCCTTTTTGACCGATTTACTATTATCAGGTATGCATAATCAGTGCAATGTGCTATAAATAACTTTTGTATAATAAGCAGTTTTCTGTTCAATGTCAACATTTAAGCATACAAAAAACATGACAATTCATCAATACATTAGGAGTTAATGACATGCATGTTTGATCGTTTTGCTCTCCAACAGGAAGGTATGCATACATTGAAACATCATCACCACGTGTACAGGGGCAAGTTGCACGTATCCTTAGTCCCTTGTACGACGACACCTTTGGAGAGTGCATGCGGTTCTGGTTCCATATGTACGGTAGTGGTATTGGTGCTCTGCGTGTCCGAGGTTTGGATTCTATCACCAACATTTACACTAATTTCTTCGTAGAAGACAGTAAGTGTAACCAAGTTTAATATAGATCAATTTAGTTAATAAATATATATTATTTAGACTTAATATTAATGTAAATTTATAATATTTCTCCTTGAAGGTCATTATTTTATTCAAGATTAAAATAAATGTATTCATAATTGTTTTGATTAAATAACAATAATAATGTAATTTTATTTGGCCCTTTTTTTATCATTTTTTATTTATTTAATTTTTTAATTTTGTTTTTGTGTTTTATATTTTATAAAACAAACTGAGACAAATGGTTAGACAGGCAAAGTAGGAGTGCAAATACTCTTTGGGGTCACCATCCATCAGCACCATGGCGCATTTCTGTACCTCTGCCTAGGTGGCTTAAACATTCTGTAAGTGGGGGCCTTCCTGCTATTGAATGAGAATTGAAATAAAATAAAAATAAAAAAGGAACCAGAAACAAATTTGCCCGCCACAGATGAGACAAGAAAATGGCCCTAAAATATAAATGCCGGCCTGCAAACAACAGGGGAGAAAAGCAGTCTGTTATTCGACTTAGTCATAATGAAAAAGACCAACTATCTATATTTCATGTTTTACACATATTGTTTGCCCTGTTATTTCAGAATACAATGAGAATGCGTGGCGTTTTGCGCAAACAACGATCAAAGTTGGACATCCATATTATGTAGTGATTGAGGGTGAAGTGGGTTCTAACTACCAGGGTGACATCGCAGTGGATGATATCTCAATCATACCAGGAACATGTGGAAGAAACGGTAGAATGTTTTCAAAATTTATTATAATAAAATTTATTTTCTTGGACTAACTGCATTGCAAAATTTCTTGTATATCATTTTTTAGACATACAGTATTGCATTTGCATGCTTTATATATATTTATTTCTTGCAGGTTTCTGTGACTTTGAGATTGACAAGTGTGGCTGGACCAATGAGCCTACTCTGGATAGTTTTGATTGGCTGAGGAATGCTGGTAACACCCCAAGTGCTTACACAGGACCAAGCAAAGATCACACCAGTGGAACAAAATATGGTAAACAGTGAATGACTTGGGGATCATCTTAATAATTGAACACTCACGCATGTGGAGAGCTGAAAGCTAGCTAGAGTGTTCTCTTTGGGCTGCGGTACCTCTTGTGCAGGGATTGTCTAAAAAGTTCCGGTTTTTTTAAAGAAAATGTTTTTCTTGCTAATTCTCCACTAGACAACCGGGCAACATGAGGAGTAAATAGGCTAGCCCGGGGCGGTTTTTACTAGACATTGTACGCCGGGCTAGTACTAAATCGAGCCCTGACATGTGGGGTTGCCCCTTTAATATGATACATAATTGCAGTACTTTAAAATTGAATTTGTGTTTGTTTAATAATCTAGGTTACTACATGTTTGTGGAGATGAGTACCGGAAACTTGGGTGTAGGCGATAATGCAATGTTTGTTTCAGAACACCTACCAGCTACAAATGATGCTTGTTTGTACTTTTGGTACCACATGTATGGCCAAGGTATGTCCACAAATCTTACTATCAAAGTTTTGTATCTTTATTGGGTGAGCAATGTCCGCAAATATTTTCATAAATTTAAATGAAACTGTGGCATTGTGGACATCATTCAATGCTTGGATTATTAGTTCATTTGACCTTTCTGGAGTGGCAATAAAAATTAACAACTGACCAATCAGAACATCCCGAAGAAACACACACATGTCTCACAAACATGCATGGTTTGTGTACATTTACACTGTAGGTTTGTGGGACTGATCTGGATAAACCAATTAATTTCCATTGTTCCTTTAAAAACACCCCTACCACAAAAATAGAATGAATGATTGTCCCAGCACGTGATGGCATTAATTCTGATTTGTGTAGTCAGTTAGAATTTGTACTAACCACTGTACTTCATCCAACAGTGTATGTTCAAACTGTTTCTTTTGTGTCTAACATAGTCTAAAAGACACAAATCTGATGTATGTCCAGTTTAAAAGCTACGCTACTTCTCAGCCTCATGATTAACTACCCACAGATCATTGAAGTGTGTCAATTTTTTAACCACACTGAATGAATTGTATTTCTGATTTTATGAATTTCTAGGAACTGGAGATTTGAATGTATATATCAAGGATGACCAAGGCAACTTGAAATTAACCTGGACTCTGTCAGGTAACCAAGGCGACACATGGTTCCAGGGTATTACTAATATCGTTGCAAATACAGAATTCCAGGTAAATATTAATTTTATTATTTATAATTCTTTGTTTAATTTATTTTTTTTTGCTACTGTAACCTTTTCAAGTATTCATGATAGTTTCAACACTACAAAGACTTGTCCAAGATACTTGTATGCCCATATATAGGCACATAATGACTATGATGGTCTTAGGCCCTGTCCAGACTATCAAATTTTATTGGACAAAAACATGTGACATGCCCAAATATGGTCATGATGACATCATATCATGAACATATATAGGCACATCGTGGCTATATATGGGCATACAACAGTTTTTTGTCAAAGGAAATTTGATAATGTGGACAGTGCTTTATACCAAATGATAACAACAGGGTCAGACATTCCATTGAAGGCAATAGACTATTTTTTTTTTGGGCTATGATATTCCATCCCTTATTAATATTTTGCATCTAACACATATGTTTATAATAGTAACGGAAATAAAACTGTTTGTTGTTCTATTATCCTAGATTGTCTTTGAAGCAACATATGGCTCGAATTATGACGGTGACATTGCATTAGATGACTTGGATATTGAGGCTGTTGGTTGCCCCGGGCAAGGAATACAGACGACACTGTCCCCTGCTCTCTGTAAGTATCGTATTTTGTTTTCAATATTGTACTTTCCGTAAAGGCCAAAATAAAATCATCAAGTTATGTATAGGAACTAACAAATGCAAAGTCTTCAAAAAATATACAGTGTGAAAAATCTTCACACACACAAAAAAAAATACAAAACAACAACTAGAACTTAAAAAATGTAGAATCTCCAAGGAATCTGCAACTGCTCTGTGGCGTTCCCAAAATTACGACAAGTGTATGGATGAAGACACCCCTTTAAGGGGAAATGGTAATTAATTACAAGTTTTATCCTGGAGAGTATCTCACCCATAGATTAGATAGGCGAATCCAAACTCTGTCGAGGTTATTATCTCATTCATGCCACTGTACAACTAACAAAGTACAGTAATACTTTTTCATTTTTTTCATTAGCAATGGATTGTACATTTGAGAGTAGTATGTGCGGTTACACACAACTAAAAGATGATGACTTTAACTGGACAAGACTGAAAGGGTCCACTTCTAGTACTGATACAGGACCTTCAACTGACCATACAATAGGAACTGGTAGGCTATCCACATTCAGTTTTTAATTTTGTTGTATAATGGTTTAAACTCTCTCATTTTACTTGTATTATTGTACAAAGAAATTTATCTTTCGTTTCTCTCCACCGAGTGGTATGTGTACCTGATAAAATGAGAAATGATTTTTATTGAATGCGGTGGCTGAGCCAATAGGAGTCCAGGAAGCACAGGACCCTAATCAGGGAAACACCATTTTGAAAAAGCATTTTTACAGTCTAAGAATGCCATTTCTGGGCATCTAGAGTGCCTCTTTTTAAAGTTTGCTTCCCACTATGATGAGGCTGAGGTGGGTGTGGACCCTCTGTCTGGGATCTTGGACCTTTCAGCTTAGATTGGCGGTCAGGGAGGTTGAACCCTTCATCTAGGTATCTCTGGTGCTGCTACTAGTTGAATGTTTTTGGTCTGTACTGGATATTCCTCCATAACAAGGAACAAGGGAGGTGGATGGAGATGCAAATTTGTGTTTGTTTATCAGGATCAAGGGTCGTAATAAGAAGTAATAAATAAATAAAAAACATTTTTACTCCATGCATTGTTGATGTTATGGTTTTATATTTGTTTTATTTTAGGATATTACATCTACATCGAAGCATCTAGTCCACGCGTTGCAGGTGACAGGGCCCGCATTATGACCACAAGACAGAACCCTACTTCCACCGGACAATGCGTACAATTCTGGTATCACATGTACGGCCCTCATGTTGACCGTTTGAATGTTTACTTGAGAGTGGGTTCGGCCGATCAGCTGATATTCACAAAATTTGGTACACAGGGTAACGTCTGGTTAAAGGCTGAGAAAACCATCACAAGTGATGATATGTGGAGTGTAAGTTCCTATTTATGTATTAGAGAGTTGTAGTTAGATGCTCACGTTCAAATACCATGGTCTTTGGTTCAATTCCTTAGAATTGAACCAAATGAAATTTGTCATGTTTTTGAAGTTCATGCATGAACAGAAATACTCCTACAAATTCAACTATGTTTGATTGTAACATTTGACTTTATACTACTACTATACTGCAGTGCATAGGTCATGGAAAACAAGGCAAAACTTAGCCTACACTTATGATAGTTAAACATGTATTTTAAAATATTTTTATGCAGGTGATATTTGATGGAAGGGTTGGTACAAGCTATGCAGGTGATATTGCCATTGATGATGTCTTCCTCTTTGACGGACCATGCACAGCTATGCGTAAGTACAAACACACAGTTATACAAATTAATCTTGTCATCTGTTGTATTCTTTTGAAACACCTGCAGTGCTATTTGCTTTTGAATTTTTTTAGGTGAGTGCGACTTTGAGATGGACTTCTGTGATTGGACACAAGAGAAGAGTGCAGATGACTTTAACTGGTCTCGTGGTAAGGGTGGTACACCATCTGCGGGCACTGGGCCAACTAAGGATCATTCAACCGGAACAGCAGCAGGTAAAGAATTAGTCTGATAATACATGTGATTGTTATTACTGATGGCAGTAAACTGATATATAAAAATTATATGTGCATCTAAAAATATTATTAATAAATAATGATAATAATAACAACAATAATGATAATATTATTAATAACAATAATTATGATAATGAAAATAAAGTTATAGGTAATAACATTATTATTGATGATAATAATATTAGGCTAATTTACTATTAATTATAATGGTAAATAATAATATTGTATAGGATTCTTAAACTTGAAAACATTTTTAATAGCTTAACTTGCAAGCTTTCAACCACTGCTGTGGCCTTCTAATGCTGACGTCATCTGATCTTGTTGTAACGTCTCGTGGTATATAATAACTATACTTATAAAAACAATGACAAATAATAATATAAATCTCCAAGTTCAACAAAATGAAATTTCATCTTTTTTATTCCAGGTTACTATGCATACATTGAGACATCATCTCCCAGAGTTGCCGGTGACACTGCACGTATCCTTAGCCCAACGTATCCTGATACTACAGCAGAATGCCTCAGGATGTGGTACCACATGTATGGCTCTGGCATTGGCACCATGACCGTCCTCTCTAAGGATCTTGTTAACAATATTGAAACTTCGCTTTGGTCCAAGACAGGTAAGCGATCTTACAAATGCTTTAGAATTGGTGTGTGCCTTAGCCAACCAGTTCTAAGGTATTGGTGTCTAAAGCTCGGTTTCCATACAATCACTACACAGCTACAATGTTTTCACTGCAATTCTTGCTCTGTGTAGCTGTCCCTGATGCAATTGGGAAAGCTTCCAGATTCAACTGACCAATTAGCATCGTCAAAGGAGTCAGCAGTAGCGTGTAGTGATTTTATGGAAACCAGGCTCAATGTGATACTATACAGTAGCTCCTAATGTGAGGGTTCAGTGTTCAATCCATTCACGTATGCCTTGTTTTTGTTCTCACAACCAGACTTTGTGATTAAAACATAATTATTGGTTTGAATAAGTCTTGCAAATGTCATGGTTTGTTACCAAGAAACAATAATCCCATATTTAAGTAGAATATTTTGGTTTAAAAATATACACCTGGACAAACCAATTTTTGCCAAGTTTTCTAATGCAACTCTAACATAGTAGAAAATACTGTTTGTGAAAATTATAAAGAAGGTTACTTTGATTGTAGGTGATCTGAATGATCAATGGCGCTTTACTCAGATATCTGTGTCGGCCTCCCATCAGTACAAGATAATCGTTGAGGGAGTAGTGGGATCAAATTATCAAGGTGACATTGCTATCGATGATGTAGAGTTGACCACTGGGTCATGTGGACGTCCAGGTAGGAGCTTATGATAAACACTATTATTGGTATTGTACTAAAGATAATTGTCTTTTTTTTTTGTTCATTTTTTATGTTGTGTATAAAGTATAATTTAGAGTTGCTGTCATCATAGCAATCATGAATATATTAATGTTTTTCGGATGTAAAATTAAATTCATTGTTGTTTTGGGAATGTCATAAAGTTTGTATATAATTGCTTATATTTGTAAAAAGAAATCTACTACTAGCAAATAATCAAAAGAACTAATAGAGTAATATTTTCTTCAGATTCTTAATTTCAAAACTATTTTTTAAGGTTTTTGCAACTTTGAAGAAGATATGTGTGCTTGGTCCAATACTGTCAACGATGATTGGGATTGGCTGCGAGCAAATGGGAATACCCCAAGTTCTTATACTGGCCCAACTACAGATCATACTACCAATTCTGACCAAGGTAAATACATTATTGTAGAGCAGTGAATAACTTGGTGGTTAAGATGCTTTCCTTCCAAAATCACAGTGTCCTGGGTTCGATTCTTGTGAGTGTTGCAGGATTTTTTCTCATGACCAAACAACTCCACTCCCTAAACCTCCTAGTGATATTTTGTTTGTGTGAAGCATCATGTGTGTTTGTTTGTCTTGTTTAAGGGATTGTCACCTACAAATAGGACAGTGACATATTCACTATTAGCTTTCCTTGGTGCATGTGTTGTGTGATTAAATAAATAAAAAAGTATGTTTGTTGGTGCATTCATCCATTTTCAGTTTTTGGAGATGTAAACATCCTGAAATATCCACTCTATGATTGGCTGATATAGAATGTAACCTCATTAATCAGTTTAATAAAGCAAATTTCTCATTTATCGTTGTTGAATCCAATTCCGCTGTCTTTGAGCACAAGACCATGAGACTCGGTCTGATGATTGTCGATGGTCATCTGAACGGATTGTCATTAATCCGATCTGCGTCCACATCGTTGCGTTGCGTTCTTCATAGAATCACCTCGCCCGACGACCATCACAAAAACATCACTGATGATCTCTTTGAACTATCTTATTTCCAAAGGATTCTACATATTCTTTGAGACCTCGTTCAGTGGCATGACAACTGGTGATACGGCTCAGCTGTTCAGCCAATATCTTGACTCCACCAGTGTATCATGCGTCAGTTTCTGGTATCATATGTACGGCTCCGGCATTGGCTCATTAAATATTTACTCCCAGGATGACACACGGATGAGAAATCCGCTCTGGACTCGCTCCGGAGATCAAGGCAACGTATGGATTAATGGAAACTTGGAGGTTATCAGTCCAAGGGAATATCAGGTAACCTGTTTTTCTCGTGAGATACAGAAGTCTGTTTTGTGAATACTTACCTTTATAAACCAACTAATTGCTACTGTTCCTCTAAGAACACCACTACGACAAAATACAACCGTCCCATTGAGCAATGTATAAAGGTCTATTCACACTATCAAGTTTGATGTGGAAACTGTGGTTGATTCGCCCATGTATGTATTTGATTGTGTCATATCACATCCATATATGGGCAAATCAAACTTACTTTTTGCATAAGACTTGATAGTTTTTAGCAGAGCTTTATTACACTTTAAACCAAGGTATCTTCTTTATTTATTATCACAAGAGTAATTAGAACAAATATTTTGTATGTTATACAGCCAAAAATTCAATTTGAATTTTAGAATACAATACAGTAGTAGTTGACTATAAAATGAATTAGGAGTAAATTGGCTAATTTTTGTTGTCACTTTAAACTTTCTCTTTCTCTGCTGATTAACATTGTGGATAGCATTCTAATTACCTTCCAAATGTTTACAATTGTTGTTGCATTGTTCTTGTTTAGCAATTAGTAACCACTAAGACAAAAGGTCTTTATATTATGCCAAATCATATTATTTAAAACTGAAATAAAATAAATATATATATTTTTTTTTCCAGATTATATTCGAAGCCACCTATGGGGGCACATACACAGGTGATATTGCTTTGGATGATCTTGACATTGAAATAGGCACCTGTCTAAGTCTGATTGTACCAACTACCAAGCCACCAACACAGCCTCCAATACCTACTCATAGTAAGTGTATTACTAATAATATTTACAATAATTACACAAGGCATTTATATAGCTATTTCTATTATTATAAAATTAAAAAAAAATAATCTGAAAAGAAATCATAATTTTGAAACTATCAACAATGATAAGGAATGGGCCCAACAACCACTAGATTCAGATCATCATTTTTTCCTTCTACCATTAGTTTTCAGTCTAATTTAGGTTAGGTTTGCACAACTAACTGTGTTTTGCATGAGCCAACTCAATTTCACTGTCTTTCCAATGTTATACAATGACAGTAAATGTTGAATGAATGAATGGATGGACATGAGAACAATTTCCTAAATTATTTAATAGAATCACACACATTTATATAATTAATGAACACTTAATTATTTTAAAATTTCTTTATTTCAGCTCCTGGTATATATGACTGTACCTTTGAAACCGGTATTTGTAGCAACTGGCAACAGGATAAATCCACCGATAACTTTGATTGGACAAGAATTCAGGGTTCTACGGCTTCAGTAGACACTGGCCCAAAATTTGACCACACTACCTTAAGTTCCAGCGGTAAATATATTGCAGAATTTACCTAAAGTGATAATGCTAATTTAGTCTGCAATAGTATTATTGATTGTTTTTGACAGTAAATACCATTTACTATTTATAATGGTCATAAAGAATTTAATGTGTTTCTGATCTATAAAACACCTAAATAGATCGTTGTCAATTGATTGGTGGATTTAATATCATGTAACATTTGTTATTATTCCATTCATGAAAATCTAATTCATTTTATACAAATTTGAGTCATTCTTCATGTAATTTACTTTCATTTCCATTCATTTTTGTTCCATTCACTTTGTTCCATTACACGCCTCCACCTTATACAGTATTTTGATTCGTTGAAAGAAGATGGACTGTTCCATTCAAATGAAAGGTAGACCTATGTTTGTTTTTTATGAAATATCAAATAACTGGAATATTTTTTGATGTATTGAAAACAAATAATGAATTTTTTTGTATTTGTACAATGGAAAGAATATTGACGGTTCCATTGAAGTCAGCTCCGATTCATATAATGGAACGGTCAATTTTTCAACTCATGAAAATGTTCTTTCTATTGCATTTTCCTTGTAAGCATTCAATATTTGTGTATTGTACACTCGTGTATAGATGAATTTTACACCAATGTTTAATATATACTTATTTTTTGTCTCCATTTACCATCAAACCTTTGTCTCCAATTCCCCACCCACCTCATTTTAATGCCAAGTATTTGAATTATTTACATACTAATTAGTACTTTTAAACAGAGAACTTTATGAATATTTTTTTACATAGGATATTACATTTACATCGAGTCAAGTGGGCGGAGTAATAACGACAAGGCAAGACTGATATCAGTGAGCATTAACACCGCTCAGTACGGCATGTGCATCAGTTGGTGGTATCACATGTACGGAGCCCATATCAAGACACTGAATGTCTACAGGAAAGACGCAGGCAGCAGCGCTCTTGCACTTGAATGGCAGCGCACAGGAAACCAAGGTTATGATTGGAAATTTGCACAGGTGTACATGAATGGATCATTCTCAGTAAGTGTGAATATGTTCTGTTCTCACATTGCAGCTAATGGTTAGCAGGATCCGGATCCTGCTAACCGTTAGCTGTCGTGCGTCCATACGAGAAAATCCGGATACCAATAATATGATGATCGAATCACTGGCATAATAAACTGGAAATTGTAAACGTGTACGTGTGAATGGTTGATGATAGAAACGCGCTCAACTTGCTAACCGATCGCGCTTGCTTAGCGCTAACCGATCGGGCGTTCTCACACAGGTGCTAACGGTAAGAACTAACGGGTAGCTCCCGATCCAGATACAGGGTCTCTCATGAGAACCAGGCTTAAGGGTGTGTGTTTTTAATATTTAAAAAGTGAAGAGAAGCTGTTGATGGTGAAAATATGTATAAGTAAATCTCAATGTTACTGTATAAGTTAAAATCTTAAATTCTCTCAATACTATCACAATTTCAAAGCCAATATTCATATTGATATTTAATTAAATTTGAAATATTTGCTTTGTTGTTGCAGGTTGTCTTTGAAGGTGTAGTAGGGTCAAGCTATCAAGGTGACATCTCTTTGGACGACATCTTCCTCTCTGATGGCGACTGTCCACCACTTAGTATGTTTTTTACTTCTTTTTTGACTCGTTACCCCATGCTAAGTTTCACGACGTTTTTTGTACATCATCAGTGTTTGTAATATTGATTGCATTCCAATTTCAATACATCAATTAACAAATTAACAAAAAAAAAAGAAATTAAAAAAAATCAGTGTACAGAATAAAAAAATGAGAAAGGAATGGTAGGAATCAGTAAGTAATAATAATATTAATATCTATAAGAATCATAATCCCCATATTATGATTTATAAATAAATAAAAATAAATAAGACTTCATTTTGGATTTTTATTGCCTTTTAAAAGGAGAAGAAAGTCAATAAATAATGTCGCTTTGGACTTCTTATTGCTTTTAGCTTCTTGTGATTTTGAACATGGTAAAGATATTTGCGGGTACACTCAAAATTCAAATGATGATTTTGATTGGACACTTGCAAGCGGCGCAACTGGTAGTTCCGGAACCGGTCCATCCAACGACCACACTTATGGTACATCAGCCGGACACTACATGTACATCGAGTCATCCTCACCTCGAAAGTTTGGTGATACAGCCATTTTGACATCGGCTGAATACCCAGCCACGTATGGTCAGTGTCTACGTTTCTGGTATCACATGACCGGGGATAATATGGGTGCACTCAATGTCTACGCTGAAATGCTTGGTGATCAAGGAACCGCGGTCTGGTCCAGGAATTTTGAAAGTCCAGATTTATGGAGACTGACAGAAGTTAGCGTAGTTGCTCAATACCCCTACAGGGTAAGTATTCCTTTCTTTACCCATGGCCACGAACAAGAATGCTAACAACGTTTTGCCAGTGTGGTGTCTTCATCATTGCCTCACTGAAATCTTTGTAGGTAAATTAGTTTCTCTAGCTATGGGGTTGCTGCTTGGTTAATGATGTTTTGGGTATTTAATAATTATATATGATTTGTATTTTAGTCTTTCTTTTTGCAAGCATTAATGTGACTCACAGTAATTAACACACGATAAGAAGTCTTGTCTTATCCAGACCAACTGACCAAAAATCTTGGAAATCCAAAATTATATATTTTCCCCCCAAAAGTTATGACTGACCAAACCTGATTTTTAATTGGTTTTTTTTGCCTAATAAGAGATTACTACTTTAGTAGTTAGTATTTTCTTTGGTAGATGCAAAATATGTTTTATGTATAATTTTTTTTTTACAAAACATAAGATAATTCAACTTTGACATAACTTTAAAGTTTATACTGTAATATTAAATCTCTATGTATTCTGATAGGTTGTTTTTGAGGGTATCGTAGGCAACGGGTGGTCAGGTGATATTGCCATTGATGATATCTACATCAAGAATGGGCTTTGCAACCAGCCTGGTACATGTGACTTTGAGACAGACATGTGTACTTACTTTAATGTTCCTTTTGATGATTTTGATTGGTTGAGGAACAGCGGACAGACAGGTAGTGCTTCGACTGGACCACCAAATGATCACACGCTTGGAACATCCTTTGGTGAGACTCAATAAACTGATTTAGTAATTTCTAAATATTTGGGTTAATTTAGTTTTTTGAATCAGTTAAGAACTATAGTCAAAGAATAGACTGATTTTTGGGTTCCTTTACTTATTGTTGGGTCCTGGGCCATAGTTTTGGCCTTTCTAATCTTTTATTCAAATGATTTCACATTTGTTTAGAGAATTTTTAGTATTTGCTGGGGGATGAGCACCTTTCTTGATCCTGGATTTGCTACTGCCTAAGTTTTCTAAGATGAAAATGAATTTAAAATCTCTAAATGAATCAAAACAGAAACTTTTGATAAGCAGTTTTTAAAAATTCAGTTAAAATTTAAATTTTATAATTACATGACGACAAAATGTAAACTTCCTTGTAGGCTACTATGTATTCATCGAGGCATCCGCCCCACGAGTACAAGGGGAGAAGGCGTGGCTCATCTCAGAGACTTTCGACGTTAATCAGGATTATTGTTTATCATTCTGGTACCACATGTACGGCAGCGATGCCGGTACATTCAACGTTTACCTACAGAAGTCCATCATTGACCCGTCTGGCTGGGAACTGAAGTGGACACTCACTGGTGACCAGGGAAACTATTGGCAACATGCTCTTGTAGATGTGATGAGCACAACAACAGTGTTTGAGGTACAAAAACTTGTTATATTTATTTAAAGCTGAGAAAATTTCTCGAAAGAAGCAATTGTATAATATATGCCATAATAGAATATAATTAATAGTATTATTATTATGATAATTAATATTAGTAAATTTAAATAATGTAAATTATGTATTATTACTGAAATTTTCTCAAAATAAGTACAGTTGAACTTTCCGAAGTGGAATCCAAAATGCCACTGAAATATTGTTTGACTGGAGATAAAATTCAACTTACAGATTGTCAATTAATTAAAAACTTTTATTTTTATCTTAAAATTCTATTTTTTCGTGGCAGCAGGTGCATTAATTGGCAAAAAATAAAATGTTTAGTTTTTTTCCTTTATTGGGAGGTGGAGGTTCGCTAAGCAAGGGAATAAAAAAGTCTTGCCTTATTTGGACATCACCAATAGTGCCTTTCAACTTCACCAGGATTGAATGATAATAATTTTACTAAACAATACAAATCAAATAGATTGGTAAAAGCTCATGATTAAATAAATCCATTTTCCACTTTTATCCAAGGTTGTATTTGAAGGTATTGTTGGCAGAAGTTACCTAGGTGATCTGGCGATTGATGATACACAGTTGTACATGGGTACGTGTGGGGCGCCCACCGACCCCCCTCCGTGTGCCTTCGCATGTAACAACGGTGACTGCTTGACGAATATAAAACTGGTCTGTAATTTTGTCGATGATTGTAATGATGGAAGTGATGAAATTAATTGTGGTAAGTAAATCTTAGACTCTGCTGGGAAGTTTTTGTTGTTGACCAGATCTGAAAAGGTTTCTCTTGCATGGAATTAACCTGGCTCTCCCTACAAGCCTATCCCAGTGTATATATCCCTCAACATTTTATTTGCCTCCTGTTTATTCTTAACTGATTTCCATAACAATGCTGGTGAACAACACACGGATACAGTATCCATAGAATTGATAATTACAATAGTATGGATATTGTTTAGTTAAATAAACAAATTTTTAATAGAAAATAAAGACAATTTATTAATATATAAATACCGTAATAATAATAATAGAAGTGGTGTTTCTAACAAGACAGTTCTATCTGGCTTACGTAAGTTACACTGGATCCAAATTTTTTGATCGGAAAGCATACCAAACTGATAGAAAAATTGAAATAATATGTAAAAATACAGTAGGCATTTCACAGAACATTGGGAAACGCAATTCAAATTTTGGTTTTGTTCCGATGTGAAGCCACCTTTAATTTAAAAAAAAAAAACAAACCTTATTAATGACTGATTTATTTTTCGTGTAGGTACTTGTACATTTGAAGGTGGCAAGTGTGGTTGGAAAACAATCACCTCAGGCTCTTTCAAATGGGTTTTGGGACAAGGTGCAACCCCCTCCTCTAATACTGGACCATCCAGAGATCATACACTTGGAAGTCCAAATGGTAGGTGTCCATCATTTGTCCTAATATTTGGTTTAGTGCAATAAAATAGATTTCAAAAAGGTTGACATTCCAGCATGTTTTTGCGATTTATTCTAAAACAGGATTTGCGACGAGTAACTGGTTTGGCTTGTCTTTGCCACATATATTCATCTATCTAAATATATCAATAACTCATTTTCCATTTTTGGTACCACAAGACTCATTTTGTCACGACAGCTCACATTTAGTTCACAACCATAAATGAGAGCAGCGTAGCTCAGCCAGCTAAACAGGTGGTAGCCACAGTGTGTGCACTGAACTGAGATTTTTGGTCCCTGGTTCAATGGCTTCAAAAAGCAATAATACATAATCATAGCCTAGGCCTGGACTGGAATGATGTTCATTTATTTAAAGCAGGCCAGCCTATGCTACCTAGGCCTAATAATTGCTTTTTTATTCTACCAACACACAATTTTTACTGGTTGGTTAGCTAAAATTTCTGTGTGCCCATATATACAGTAGTCTTGATGTGCCTATATAGGTCATGATGTCATCATGACCATATTTAGTCATGTCACATGTTTTTGTCAAATAAAATTTCGAAGTCTGAACAGGGCTTTAAGATGTTATTACTTTGACTGATGTTTGGTGATGTTCTCTTTACTATTGCAGGCCACTACATGTATGTTGATGCCAGCTCCGGCTCCAGCTACTCCATGGCTGTCCTTCAGACTGTGCAGATGTATGATGCCTCTTCAACGTGTATGCTGGACTTTTGGTTCCATATGTATGGCTCAGGTCAGGGGGCATTACATTTGTATTATTAATTATTGTTAGCATTAGCATTAAAAATAGTCACTTTGAGTAATGCTTACGTCATAGTGCCATTATTTCTGCCGTGGATTTTGGGACTTTACACATATCTGTTGATTGATTGATTGATTGATTGATGATTGAGTCATCATTAAGCTAAAATAAAAATGAATTTTTGTAGATATTGGAGATCTTGGAGTGTACGTTTCAAGTAAAAACATAAAGACCCTATTGGTTCTACTGACAGAGGATGAAGGCGATCAGTGGATGAATATGCAGCTGGGCATTGGCAGAATGAAATCTAATTTCCGGGTAAGCAGATAAAGTCTATTTCATGATTACTCAACCAACCTTGAAATGATGTCGCTGGCTGGGTCTGCCTGGCATAAGCTTCATAAACTTGGTTGTGTAGTGTCAATTACCTTAGTAGCTTCTCTTCTCTTATCTCATGAAAATAGACAAGATCAGTATGATCTCCATTCTGCAATAGAAGCTCATAGTGAGAGCAGGTTAGTTTAGAGAGAGCAGCTTAGCTCAGTCGGCTAATCTGGTGGTAGCCACTGTGTGTGCGCTGAACCGTGGAGATCTCTAGGTCCCCCGTTCAATTCCTATCACTGCCTCTCCTTGAGTTTCAGCTAGAAGGCTAAAATACAAGTTACGATAGTGCACCGGTTTTCGGATGAGACGTTTAAGCCGTTGGTCCCGTGTGCATTTATGGCCCATGTGCACGTTAAAGAATGCGGTACACTTTTCAGAAAAGAGTAGGGGATTGTCTCCCGGTGTACTGCCCAAATCACCACCAGAAGGACCCCACTGAAAATAAGTCTTCTAGTCTTTTGTGGGCTATCCTTGGTGTTTACACCGATTAAATCCAATCCAATCCATAAACGTGTTCAACAATATGTTCCATCAAATTTTATGTGACACTTTTTTGATGAAATTTGATAGTGTAGACAAAGCTTCAGTTTAATGCCTTTGATCTCCTCCCATTAGATTATCTTTGAGGCTAAAAGATCTTACACAACCCTTGGTGACATTGCTATTGATGATGTGAGCTTCAAAAACTGTAACCTTCCACGTAAGTCCAAACAGTAGACAACTCACAGTTTAAAACAAGTATTGTAATATATGCATAAAAACAATATAAATGTATAAGAATTAAAGGGTTTGAAGGTTTTTTTTTCATAACACTACTACTCAGCAATTTGCTTCGGCTTACTGTATATTTTTGTATTTATTTTTTGTTTAACCCGGGTTAACAACTCAGATGAAACCAACTGTTATGCTTATGTGTCCAAGATACGATACACAAAACATATAATCTTTAACTACTTACTTTTATAATAATACTAATAATTCATAATAAGAACATTAATAATAATAATAATATATATAATAATAGTAATATGCACTAAGTCGGACTTACGGTAAATATCTTTTGTGTTATTTTTCCCTTAACGTCATGTTATTTTCCCCTTGACATCGTTTTTTTAATTGTTCTCTAATTTCTCCATCGTCTAAATTCCCCCTTAAGTAGGGTCTAGTAACATAATAATAATAATAATAATGATAATAATAAGAATAATAACCATTATGCTTATGTGCCCAGGATACGATACACAAAACATATAATCTTTAACTACTTACTTATGATAATAGTAATAATTTATAATAAGAACATTAATAATAATAATTATAATATATAATAATAATAATAATAATAATAATTATAATATTAATAGAATTAAATAAGCCTGTAATTGTTTTAAATGTCATTTGATATTTAACTTTAATGACCCTTTTAATTTTTTGTAAAATTATTGTATCTACTGTATGTCATGGTATTATGTGACACTGCAAACAACTGCCATCAAACAGAATGTTTTATCTTTACTGTAAGCAAAAAAATGTATCTTTACTGTAAGCAATACTAATACTTATATTGTCTTGATTTTTTCATGCCATTAGCAATTCAAACCAACTGTGGGGCAGGTCAAACACAGTGTGCTCGAGGTAGCTGTGTCAATAATGACCGTCTCTGTGACTTGACCGATGACTGTGGTGACAACACTGATGAGACATCTTGTTGTGAGTACCTTCTTTTACTTTTATGATGTTAGTGTTTGTTGACACTGATCTGAGGTCAATGCACTTTCAAATTTTAGTGCATGACGATGTCTCTCTAAAATAGTAGCCAAACCATAGCAAGTAAGCGTACAATTTCTTTTTTATTATAAATATTCAATATAATTTATTCTCATATCTTCAACAGCAAACTATGAGACATGTAACTTTGAATGGGGATTTTGCAAGTGGAGACAGTTGGTTAATGATGAGCTTGACTGGTACCAGTACAGCGGCATAACGAATACCCCCTACACAGGGCCTACCCGTGACCATACCACAGGCCTAGAGACTGGAAAATACCTCTACTTGGAAACGTCTTCTCCTCGGCAGAAGGGAGATCGAGCTAGGCTAGGCAGCAAGGCCATTAGCTCCACTAACTCTGGCAACTGCATGGTACAAGCATTTTGTATTTTTGACATTTTTATGTAGCAGTCACCCACTGAATTTAGATTCCGATACAAATACTGACTGCTCATGAGGGGAATATGAAATCTATAGCCCCTCAGTAATGTGGAGACTTTAGCCCTCGGGAAGATACGCTACAGTCTCTACATCACCGAGGGTCTATAGATTTCACTGTTCCCTTAATCAATTGAGCAGTCAATATTTGTTTTATATACCTCATACATGGATTCTACGAGGCCTAAAAAAGTAATGAAAATAGTACACACCAAGTAGGCCTAGGCTTACTTCCTAGGCTTTAGGCAACCAAAGATCCAATCTTTCAGCGTTGTAAAGGTGGCGTCTCTTTTATTGTTTGTACGTGTCATAAATTGCATAGCAACACAGCCTGGAGATGGCACATTGCGTGGCAGGGCAAAACAGTACTACCCCATAGGGTAATAGTATACAAATATTGACTGCTCATGAGGGGAATGGTGAAATCTACTGCCTTGAGGTGATGTGGAGACTGGAGCCTGTCTTCCCGAGCGGCCTGAGAGAAGATAGTCTACGGTCTCCACATCACCTAGGGGCAATAGATTTCACCGTTCCCTGAATCTAGAGCAGTCAATATTTGTTTTATATACCTCATACATAGACTCCGAGGCCTCAAAAGTACTTACTTCCTAGCCTTGCCTAGCTAGAGGCCTACACACTAGCCTAAATTTCAGCAGCACCCATCGTCTTGCAATATTTGTTGAACCATTCAGGTGCCTAGAATCTATGTATGAGGTATATAATACTTTCTATTACCCGCTTCTTAACCAATAATCAGATGCCGACAATCTATGTATGCAGTATATATTGTCTATTCTTTGATAAAGTGTAGTGTGTGATCAGATTTTTATTTATGATGTAGCACTGCTTAATTTCATAATAGATAATGTCTGTCTATTTCTTATTTATCATTCTGTGAGTTATTTATAAACTAATCAAATAATGGATGGCTTATCTTGTTAAATGATTGATTGATGGATTGCTGAACATTTTTTTAAATACATCTTACGAGATATTGTTTATGTGTTACTTCTGTAGCTCCGATTTTATTACCACATGTATGGAGAGAATATAGGAACACTGAGTGTTTACACTCGCACCGCCAAAAATGGGCCTCTTTCTTTGGAATGGTCTAAATCAGGGAACATTGGCGATTACTTTGAACGCGGAGAAGTGGTGCTAACCAATTCACAGGCATTTGAGGTTATAATCGAAGCAACGGTGGGTGATGGTATACGAGGTGATATTGCTATTGATGATACATCATTTACCAGCTCTTGCCAGTGGTCTAGCAGTAATTTGCCTACTGTACCAACCGATAGTCCAACGACATCCGTAGCAACAACACCATCTTGTGGTGCTGGTCAGTTTACTTGTAAAGATAATACCTGTATAGACGAGAATAAGAGATGTGATGCTATAAACGATTGTTCTGATGGCTCAGATGAAAGTGATTGTGGTAAGTATTATCATCAATACAAAAGATTCTCTCTTTATTACCTCCGCTGTAATTATGTAAAAAAAAAATCACATTTTTGGTGTACAGTGGCATATCTAGGGGGTGCGCGGGAGGCGCACGCCTCTTCCAAAATTACTCGCGTCCCCCCAAAAATCATGGTCAAGTAGTTAAAAAATACCTAAAATCACCTTATTTTGTTTCTCAACTGATCGTCAAGCCCCCCCCCCCCACTTCACTTTCGCACCCCCGATCACTACCCCCATTTTAAGACTTCTAGATATGCCACTGCTGGTGGAGCAAAATTATGCTCTCTATTGAGTGCACTCTCTAGATAAACATGTTAATTGTTACTGTCTCAATTTCTGAGTAAATTATTGAATAACACCCCTTAAAAATTAAATGAACCATTAGCATCTGGCGCATCGTACAAATAAGGAACTACAAATAAATGTTGACTTAAAAAACATAATTTTTAAAGGTTCATGTACATTTGAATCTGGACAATGTGGATGGACTGGTCTTAGCAATGGACGATACAAGTGGGAGCGACATACAAGCAACTCGGCGACTGGTCTCTACAACCCACCAAATGATCACACTACAGGAACTGCTGCTGGGTGGTACATGTATGTAGACAGTACAACAGGCTCATTCTTGACAACTGCCATTTTGATCAGTCCTGATTTAGGTGATACAGGACCAAGGTATCTTCTTGGTTTGATTTTGTATTTTTAACACACTAATGATTACAAAAATATTGATGTATATATATTGTTTTGTTCATTTTCACTGTCATTATCAGATGTGTGGAAGCGATTTGGCGCAGCTAGAATGGTTTGCTTCCCCAAACTCGAGGTCAGGGTTTCAATCTCTCACTGTGCATTTTTCTAGTGTCCTTGAGCAAAGGAATTTATCTGCATTGCTTCTCTCTACCCAGGAGTATAAATGGGTACATGCTGAAGTTTCCTGCTCCTGCGCTGATTACCAGTTGCAACACTTAAGCATGGTGGCTCAATGACCAGCGGAAAACAAAGTGTTTTGTAACCTAAAGGAATAGGCGATGTATAAAAATTTGAACTAACTACCCAACTGATATTGTTGTCAATATTAATAATAATGAAAATAATAATGGTAGACTTATATAGTGCATTATGAAAAGCTCTCTATTATTATCATTACCCCAATCATTAGATTAAACACCTATAGAATACAAATTCAGCTCCCCAGGAGATTATTCCATAACCTTGCAGCAACTAATCAGTGCATTTGACATTTTACCCTACGAGGTACCCAATTATACAGGACATTTTTCTTTAAAGTGATTCCTAGCATTTTTCTGCTTGTATTTTTCCTGTAAATTTGTTTATCAATTAAGGTGTTCAATGGACTTCTGGTATCATATGCGTGGAAGCAATGTCGGTACACTCACTGCCGTTGTTTATGAGGGCATTATCCCACGATCTTTAGTGACAAGAGTAGGAGACCAAGGCAACCAGTGGAACAAAGCAACTCTAACTGTTGGACAGAGAACTGCTGGAAACTATGTGGTAAGTATCAGCAACATTTTATACAGTTTTGTTATAATTTTGTAGAAATTCCCTCTTTAAAAAATAATGGAATCACCCATATAAGAGTGTCCTAATCCATACTAATGTAATGGTACTGTGCTACTACTACTACTACTACTGCTACTGCTACTATTCCTACTGTACTATGACTAAAGCTGTTACTGCTACAACTAGTGCTACAACAGCAGCTGCTAACTGCAGATGATGCTGTTGCTGCTGCTACTGCTACTACTACTGCTGTTGTTCATTCTACTAGATAATCTTTATCTGTATCTTATTATTTGTTTACTAATGCCGTTTTTTTACTCTTCTTGTTAGATTCGGTTTGAGGCAACCCCAGGGAGTGACTTCACCAACACCTCCGCATTGACTGACATGGCCATTGATGATGTTGAATTCAGTAACTGTATTGGCTTTCAATCAGGTAAGCATTTCTTGTATGTAATCTGTACATATATATAGAAAGCTCATAATGGCTATGTTCTCACACAGCAGCTAACGGTTAGCGCTAACCGATCGGGCGTTCTCACGCAGGTGCTAACGGTTAACGCTAACGGTTAGCTCCCGATCCGAATACTAGGGCTCTCGTGAGAACCAGGCTAATATAGGCCTTCATGTTTCTAAGGCCGGGCACTCACTTAATCATACAACGGCCGTACGACTGTCTGCTCCCACCCCCAGTGAGCGTTAAGACAACTCAATGCTCTGTACTGATTTTTGGTGACATTGTGAATGGATCATCGTCAAAGAAAAACAATTCATTGCACACGTGTTGTTGCGTTGCATTAATCGTAGAATTGCATCGCAGTGATTTCTCAGCTTAGTACATTGTATTCTGCCTTGAATGGACCTTACTTTCTTACCACTGCCTTCGTTCTTCTGACAAATCAATGCTATCTGTTCTTGTTTCTGTACTAAAACTTACAGTTGTCGTAATTTTTCTTGTGCTGCATCTTCTCATTGGAACGAACTCCCGTTTTCGTTAAAGACTCTTCCTCTCTTATTTCTTTTAAAACAAACCTGAAGATTTATTTGTACACCAAAATTCAGGGTACAATACATCATTTTTTGGAATTGGCACAATACAAATGTTTGATTGATTGATACGACAGTGCTTCAGATTTCTAACTATTCCTGGTTATGTTTTTCATTGTAGATCTAAGCTGTACTTTTGAAGGTACTGGGAATGGAAACATCTGCGGATGGAAGCAGGACGCGACTGACGACTTCAACTGGACTCTTCTAAAAGGAAGCACTGGTTCTACCTACACTGGTCCACAGTTTGACCACACCACTGGCACAGGTGATTACAGCTTACTCATTATGGCCCTACTTTACATGCCTCAATAAATTCTTTAAAGATACAATAGAAATAAAGTAGTAGTACTATGATGTCCTTGAAGCTTTAGGCCTTGTCAACATTATCAAATTGTATTTGACAAAAACATGACGTGCCTAAATATGTTCATGATGATATCCCATCGTGACCATATATAGGCACATCATGACCATATATAGGCACATCATGACTATATATGTGCAATTTGCTAATCTGGACAAGGCTCTAAGGAGTTCTTGATTGTAACAACAGCATGAACCTAGAGTGGACTCACACGGTTGTGACCATACTTTTGTTCTCTGAAAAACATAAGTACAACCCACACCATTTTGCTATAATAATAAGAACTTGAGTGTTACTTGTTTGATGGAAATAAATAAATATAAATAAATAAATAAAATGATATATAAAGTATGTACATAGTAAAGCAAAAAATTGCACTAACACTTTTGTTTTAGGCTATTATGTGTACATTGAGACATCATCACCCAGGGTTGCAGGGCAGAAAGCCAGGCTTACGTCTGGAGATCTTGCAGCCACTTCTACCAACTTCTGCATGGAGTTTTGGTATCATATGTTTGGCCCAGATGTTGCTAATCTTAACCTTATTCAGAAGGTTGCTGGTGTTAAGAATCTGGTGAGCTATTTTTCAAGTTTTTACATTTTCGAAATCTTGAAGTTTATGGGGTTTTTTAAATTTACATATTTAAAAAAAATAAATTGTTAGCATGTGTCACAATATACTTACTTGTTAACATGAATTCTCCTTTCTGGTTTAATTCCAAATTAAATTATTGTACATTATGATTCAATAAATGACGCACCCACTATCTTCGGCATGTTAATCTATTGCAGAAGCATTGGGCAATTTTAATATACAAACTCATTAATCTAACTAACAAGTCACCAAGAACAGGTATGCATATCGTATGTAATTTCTTCAATGATTATCTGGTATGTAGATATGGACCAAGACTGGAACTCAATCAAATCAGTGGTTGGTGGCCCAAGAGACCATCTCTAGTGGTTCTAACTATGAATTGATCTTTGAGGCGTACGTTGGCAAATCATTCGGTGGCGACATCGCTCTGGATGACATTTTATACACAGCAGGAGACTGTCCACCATCACGTAAACGATTTTTTTTTAAATAATAAAAATAATAATAATGGTCGACTTATAGAGCATATTGTTTTTTACCTGTATGCCTTTAATATAAATGTAAAAACAAAAACGGACCAAGAAAGTATAATATTTTATCAAACTATAATGACATGCTAATCCTTCTCTATGCTTACGTTTACTATAGCTATGTGTGACTTTGAGGCTGACATGTGTGAATGGACCAACTCTAAAGATGACACTATTGGTTTTGACTGGAGTCGTGGCTCTGACGGTACACCATCAGTTGGTACTGGTCCAGAAGTTGATCATACATACGGTACAAATAAAGGTAAAGAAACTGATTTGACTTATGTCTTAATTAGTTTGAGTTCTCTGATACCAAACTCGATGAGACCCTTTGAGCACCCCACTTACTATGCTTCACGAATAGTATTTAACCGGATTAAATGATGCCAATGTTTCCTACAAAAACTTACCTCTTGAGTAATATTAATATTACATACTGAATTCATTATTTGTTTATTGTTAATATTTTAGGTCACTATGCTTTTGTGGAAACATCTTCTCCACGAATTGAAGGTGATCGAGCACGCCTGGAAAGTCCAGAATATGATGCCGGTAGAAGTGATGAGTGCCTAACCTTCTGGTTCCACATGTGGGGTAGACATATTGGTCAGTTGAATGTATACCAATGGAATACAGGAGACATATTTGTGTACCCATCGTGGAGTAGGGTTGAGGACCAGGGCAACATGTGGCGCAGAGCTAAGGTTACTATTTATGGCTCAGTGAAGAATTACAAGGTAAGTTCAGTTTTAGTTTTAGAAATTTTATTTTTCAGTGTTAGTTTTAGAAAGTTTTAGTGTATTTCAAGAAGACTTACCTGGATAAATTAAATACATATGCTTAGTTTTCATGCTTTCAGAATTAAATTATAGACCCTAGATCACGATCTGATAGTGTTATATTTGATCATGTTAAAAACTGTGAGGCATTCCAATTTGTTTTAGGATGACAGGGTATACTTGAAAATGATAATGTCGTCTGTAATGTAAGTAATAAATTAGGTTTAATATTTTCTAGTGGGCACTACTTTAGTAAGTTGGGCACCAGTTAAGTGTGTTCAGTAGTAATCAATTAATATTAACTAACTCTGACACTAATTTGCTATTTAGTAAGTTGGGCACCAGTTAAGTGTGTGTATTTCAATACTTGGAGTATGTATTATACTTTCTTATCTGAGATTAATCAGTGGACCTTTCGGTTTCTAGGTGTAGGGTTTAGACTACCTCAGCCCCACTATGTTTGGCACTTCCCGATGGCTGGAAATGGCACTCTCAGACTAAAATTTTGAATGAAATGTTTTCCTTATTTTTTTTTTTTTTTAGGCCAGACTGAATGGCCCTTAAATTTGCCTATGGTTTGTGGAGCCCTCTAATCTGACTTTGCCTCCACCAGCTCCCTGAAGGAATAATAATAAGATGTTGCAGCTTGCCTCAATGCTTTGATATTTCTCTATTAGGCACCCACTGGGCGGACACAATATAAATAAATAGTTTTGCCCTTGGAAAGAAATAAGTAATGAACCTCACCCTTAACTCTTGATTATTTGATTGAAAGCTCAATGTCTTTTGCATAAAGTCCAGTCCAGACTATCCAGTTTAATTTGAATAAAACATGTGACATGCCTAAATATGGTAATGATGACATCACACATGACATCATAATATGCACATCATGATTTATATGGGCATACGATAGTTTTTTAAGATAAGATATGTATTTTGGTGTGAATCACATTAAGGATAACCGAGGAAGTCTGAAGATTTGTTTCAAGTTCTTTCTGGTGGTGAATTGGGCAGTACACTGGGAGACAATCCCCTACTCTTTTCCAAAGAGTGTACTGTGTTCTTTAACGTGCACATGGGCAGTATTGCACACGAGACCAACGTCTTAAACGTCTCATCCGAAAGACAGTGTGCTGCGTAACTTGTATTTCAGCCCTCCAGCTGAAACACAAGGAGAGGCAGCGATGGGAATTGAACCGTGGACCTAGAGATCTTTACGGTTCAACGCACACACAGTGGCTATCACCAGATTAACCGACTGAGCTAAGCTGCCTTTTTTATCAAAGAAAATTTGATAGCCTTGACAGAGCTTGAAAGTGTGTATAAATGTGAAATTTTTTGTATAGTCACATCATATACAGTGGCGGCTCTAGGGTATATTTTCTGGAATTGGGGGGGGGGGCTTATCTGTCTGACAGGGGACTTGAGCTCGTAGGCCCAAGCAAGGGGAAGGGTTTTAGAGGGTGTTTCCCCTCCCAAACGATTTTCTTGAAAGGATTGGAACCTCTGGATGGCAAGAAATGACATTCTCAGACTGGGACAGGCATGTGTTGGCTTGGCGTGGGCCTATTTTTATATTTGTTTTAGTTCGACTACCCGAAGAGCTCTGTCCAAAGAGGGGGGCTTGACCTGTCCGGTGGGGGGCTTAAGCCCCTGCTTTCCCCCCACTGGCGCCATCACTTATATACTGATCTAACTTTGTTCCTCAACAGATTGTCTTTGAAGCTGTAACTGGTGAGAGTTATGAGGGAGACATTGCAGTGGATGATATTGAAATCTTGGATGGAGCTTGCCCTACAGATGGCTTCTGCGACTTTGAAACCGACACTTGTGGTTGGACAAACGACTTTGTTAATGATGATTTTGATTGGCTTAGGGATACAGGTGGCACCCCCAGCAGTTACACTGGGCCATCTGCTGATCATACTCTAGGAAATGGACTTGGTGAGTCAATAATCAGGACTGGGGTTTTAGTGGAAATTATGTATGAATTAATATAAATCAAAAACCATTACAAACCAATAATCCATTATGGTTCAATTAAGTATCTCACTCATACACTGCCAACTTCACGATTGATTTGTGTATTTTAGCACCCTCACAGTTGAGTAACATGGAAATGTTCTTTCTTGTGTTAGGTTTTTATGTTTTCATTGAGACTTCAAGCCCTCAATATCTCAATGATAAAGCATGGTTGGTGAGTGAACACCTGAATCCAACTGCAGGTAGGTACAACCAATTTAGTCTTTTTCATAAATACATCCATTTTGAACCAATAGTTTTTGTTTATGGAAGGTACCTAAGAAGTAATGTAATTGTCCATCCCTAATGTGCAGTATATAAAATATTGATATATTTTTACCTTTTCCTTTTTGCTTATTATGCAAAAATCATTTTGATTGCAAAGAGGTTACATGTAAATGTTTAATAAAAGTGATGAATTCAACAGAGAGGGAGTAGTATAAAACAGTAGTCACTGTATTAATATTGAACAATAGATCATTCATTGGTTAAATTTTATTACAACTGTATTAGCAGAGGGCTAAAATGAACACAAGAATACTATCTTTTCAAAGGCAGGTTGGACTGTGTGTACATAAAACAAGAATATGCTTACACTAATCTTTATTTTGTTATGCAGGAAGTTGCCTCAATTTCTGGTTCCACATGTATGGCACAGGAATCGGTGCTCTTAACATCTACACCCAGGTATATGAATCCGCACCACAGCTTATTTGGACAAGGAGCGATAATTATGGCAATGTCTGGATCAATTCTAAGACTACATTGACATCAAGTGATGAATTCTGGGTATGTAGCCCCTGACCTTTCAAAGGTTAAGACATCTGACCTTGGATAAATTTGGTTATGTACTGTAGTAATGTTTTATTTTTATGATTGTTTTTACTATTTCATTTGATTTCTTTTCTTGCGCCATAATATATAAAAATATAGTTATTATATGGCAGGATTGCCCAAAAGTAGGAGATTAATCTACTGTTGATGGGCTCTCCTCACGACAACGACAAGTAATATACAATATCATAATTCTATATACATAATTCAAATATAATATAAATATTCTGTTTTATTTGAGTATTCTGGTCTTTCTAGGTTATATTTGAAGGAGTTCGTGGTGTAAATTATGAAAGTGACATTGCATTAGATGACATTGAGATTAGGAATGGTTTGTGTACTATCACAATTGCCCCGCCAACGACACCTGTCCGGCCAACTTACCGTAAGTTCGTAGTTTAATTAATTAAAAATGAATGACATCGAAGAAATTTGACAGATCCAGCCTTTGAAAATTGTCTATGATTTGATAGTTGATTAACAGAAACTACGATAGACCAATACCCTCTTGGGCATGAATTTTATGTCTTGAAAATCGTGAATAATTACTACAGTAAGTACAGTCATTGGAAAAGAACTGTCGCATGTTATTGTTAATGATTTTTTCAGTGATATAAAATCATGAGGAATGATGATTATTTATTGTTGTTATAATTAGCTGCTGACTACCATGATTGTGACTTTGAGGCTAATATCTGCCAATGGACCCAGGACCGGAACGATGATTTTGATTGGCTAAGAAGAACAGGCAAGACATCATCAGTTGGCACTGGTCCAACTTATGATCACACCAAGGGAGATTCATCTGGTAGGCACTAGTGTTTTGTCATTGTAATTATTTTCCTAGAATATGGAATTGTGGTTATTACAGTAAAGGCTAGATGGGACCACCTATTTTGTGAATACTTACCTGGATAAACTGAGAATTGCTAAGTTTCCTTTTGAAAGATACACCTAGAGAAAAATTTACACATTGAAAAATAAAAATTTTCAATTCTATTATTTTTTGCTATGTATGATTTTTCACAAAAAAAACCAAAAAAAAAAACAACTTTGTCAGTTTATCCAGGCAAATACTTTAAATTCAAATTTATTCAAATTCAAATTGATTTTTATTTCCACATAAGTTCATTGAGCATAATGTACATAAATATTAATACAGTTTAGTGTGGGGATGAGTCAGATAAGGCAATTAAGGCTTAGGATCAACCTTTAATATGTAACAAAGAAAACAGAAAAGGAGAAAAAAAAGCCAGTATTCTATGACTGCGTTTAAATGCCTTTTGAATTATGCTCGTTTTTGAGGTTTTTTTAAAAAATATTTAACTTTCAATCTTTTCTATATTTGGAATTTTATATTGTCTGCATTTGTTTTGTTTTTTTTTTTTTTGTCAAAGGGCCTCCACTCGTTTTTGAGGTTTTTTTTTTAAATAATTAACTTTCGATCTTTTATATATTTGGAATTTTATATTGTCTGCATTTGTTTTTTTTTTTTTGTCAAAGGGCCTCCACTCGACAGTGATTAAGTTTACTTTTGGAGTGTCCTGTCTCTTGTTTTTTCTTATGCTATTGTGGTTGTTCTTTGCTGTTTCTGTTTTTGTACATTTTAATGTTTGAGACAAATGAATGAAATAAAATGAAAAACACATCACGGCTGATATTTTCATTTTGTGGATAGATTGACTAAATACATAATTTGATATATTGTAGAATGCAGTTGGTGTGCATATTGGCCTTCAATGGCAGCATTCAATCTATTGATTTTGAAAATCTTCTACTAGGTTGGTATCTATTTATCGAAACATCTGACCCACGACAACCGAATGATACAGCACGACTTTTGAGTCAACAATTCGGCAATGGTGCGAATGGTGTCTGCATGAACTTCTGGTACTACATGCATGGACCTCATGTGGATGATCTTACCATCTCAAAGGCTATTGGCAGTACTGAGACTGTCCTGTGGAAACATACGGGAACTTTTGGACCTCAGTGGAACTATGGACAAATCCACATTGTTGAGCCTAGTGTCTTCTCTGTACGTTGATATTGAAATACAGTTACATTCGCATATGCAACAAAATTATAAATCTTAATAAATTTAATGTGAATTTGTTGTGAAGATTTCAGATTTTATCAGTCTGTAATAAAAACAATTATTAACTGATAATTAAAATCCTGGTCGTTATCCTCTGTCGCCAATTATATTTCTTCCACTTTTAAGTCAGTACCTTCCTCTACCAACTTTTAATACAAGTTATTGAAGGAGCTTATTTGATGAGAAACTCAGGAATGGTTATTGAGATTCGATTTTTTAATATTTTAAAAGAGGAGTTGGGGGAGGGGGAAGGTGGAAACAGGATGGTTACACCCCCTTTTTCCCTCAGTTTTTAAATATTCAGAAATCTGTATCTCATTAACTGTTCCCGAATTTTTCGTCCAACACTCTTTTTTGTGTCTATCAATCGTTATTTTTTTATATGGGAACTGGCGTAATTATTATTAAGTTTCACCATAACAAATGATTACTTTTGTTAGATCACCCTCGTTATTTTTGTTTTGCTCGAATTGAAGCAATTTAATATTCCAATCTTGTCTTTGTTCCTTCGCTCTTCTCGGAAGCTTCTATCACCACACCTCTTAACTTTCCTAACGAACGACGGCCGTGTAATCATACACTTTATTATGAAACTTATGTTATTCGTTAGAGTAGTGGTAACGTCTGATTATAGTATCTGTTATCCCTAGCTACACGTCTTTATTCATACATGGAGGTAAAATAGATGCTCATACACCATCGTCTGGTCAACGGAAGGCAACAAGGGTGATGTCTGGCGACTAGGTCAAGCTACTCTTCCAACAACATCTGGAGATTATGAAGTTCTCTTTGAGGTCATCATTGGATCTGGTTACTTGGGAGATGCAGCAATTGATGACATTGTTTTCTATGATGGAGCTTGTGCCGGTAGGTACCAGAAATATTTTATTTATACAAATTCTGCATGTATATGCATATACGTATATACATATATGTGAGCAGCTTAGCTCAGTCAGCGAATCTGGTGGTAGCCGCTGTGTGCACTGAACCGTGGAGATCTCTAGGTCCCCGGTTCAATTCCCATCGCTGCCTCTCCTTGTGTTTCAGCTAGAGGGAAGTTACAATAGCGCACCGTCTTTCGGATGAGACATTTAAGCCGTTGGTCCTGTGTGCATTATGGCCCATGTGCACGTTAAAGAACGCAGTACACTCTTTGGAAAAGAGTAGGGGATTGTCTCCCGGTGTACTGCCCAATCACCACCAGAAGGACCCCACTGGAAATAAGTCTTCTTATAGACTTTCGTGGGCTATCCTTGGTGTTTACACCGAATAAATCCAAATTGATATCCAGTATATGCATATACATGCGACTAATACGTATACATACATATACGTATATTCATGTATATGCATGTACGTATATGTAAGCCAAAAATATAGGTTCAATCGTACAAGTAAAATACAAGAGAAACACAGATATAGTATCAACTTTAATATTGCTTTTTGTCTGTAACTAAATTACAAGCTACTACTGAATGAAAGAGTTTATTTTAAAACGGGTACTATTTACAATGACCTATTGGTCATCAAAGTTAGTCAACGTTTCTAGGAATTACTTAAGCCGGGCACTCACTGCATCGTTCAACAACGGCCGATGACTGTCAGGTGCTGTGAGTGCCTGGGTTAACAGAAGCATGCTCTGAGATATGGACAATAATTTTAGGTATATCAGCAACAAGTGTCTAATTGTGGTAATCAACACCATTGGAATAAGATAAGTGTTAATAACCAGTACAATAAGGTTAGTCGTCTTTTGGGTAATCATTGGATACTAATCTATATTAAGACATTCACCTCCCTTTTCTGAATGTCGCCCCTACGTTCTGAGTATAAGAGAACTAAATTTGAGGCATGTCGTGGCGAAATGGTTAAGTTGTCGCACAGGCCTGTATTGAGTAAATGAGCTATAAAATATGAGAGCTCAAAAAATTGCCTAAAAATCCAAATTTGTTTTTTCATTATAGATCAAAAGTTTAATGACTTATTAATCATGTAACAAAGAATTAGTTCTGGAAGTGGTCAAGAAATTGTTTATTTAATGTTATTTTGATAGTTCATTCTATTATTACAGTGTATGCACAAATAACTTTGAAAGGCAATTACTCAAAATCATGTTTATTTTAATTCTAAGAGTACTGTACTTTCACTTTCCAATAACTAAGGCTTGAAATGTCCAATTTCAATGAATGACCCCTCATTTTATAGAACACATACTCAGGTATCTGAAACTACCAATAACTTGAATTTCAATTTTTGCTACAACTTAGCCATTTTGCCACAACATGTCTCATATGGTTAATTAAATAAACTAAAAAGTTGTTCATCATGATATAAAAGCGAAAGTAAGAATGATGAAAAAGCTAAATAGATCAAAAGTAACAAAACAATAGTAAGAGAAATCAAACTTATTTAAAATTCTCAAAATTTAATACTTACTTTAATAGGTAAAGGGATCATGCTAAACCAACTTCTAATTGACCCAAAACCCAAAGGATTCAGTGATTTTTAAAAGGCTATAAATCACAACTGTCAAAACTGACATTCACACTAACAATATTTAGTAGTACAGTACTAATAATGTTCAACAAAATAAATTTAAGAATTCAACAATTAATACATCAGTGCCATTACCAATGTAACAAAACCTAAACCTGTATAATTATATACACATATGTATTACTGTACAGTATATGTTTTTATTACAATTTGTAGTGTAGTAGAATTGGGTAAAACATGAGAGTGAGTCTGGCAACGTAGGTTAGGTTAGAAAGGCTACCATGTGAATGAGTAGTGCTCTTCGGAGACGAGTAGAATGATATTCTAGGTTTGTAATAGTTTACTGTTAGCTGTATGAATAAAGAACCCAGTAGACGTTGTTGTATTGGTATATTTATTAAAAAGTCAGCATCCATTACACAATTGTTTGATGTTTTTACATTTAGTTGATGTTTATTACATTAATGGTAAAATATCACACTAGTAGTTTATTATTTCATGAAATAATCAACCACTAATGTAACAAAATTCAAACACTAATGTAGGTTTCAAGTAGAATATTGCTATATATTTGATGAGTGATTCAAATCTTACAAAATACTAACTTGCAGAAGGAATAAGAATAGCCAAAAATCGGATGATGAATAGATCTACATACATATTTTGTGTTGAGGTGATTAAAATTCTTAGGCCTAGTATGTTCAAATCAATTTAACGATCACTATGTCTTTATTATTTTTTTTTTTTCATTTGTTTAAACAATCCTTTATCACACTCTTTTTTAAACATCAAAAATCGAAAAATAATGTAATAAACAATAAAACAAAGACAAATGGATATGCAAGTAAAATTTGTTCACAGGTATGTGCAATCAGTCGTGGAATTAGGAAACCTTGGGACATATTTGAAATGGAATTTAAGGCCGGGGAATTGGTGATTGAAGATGTTATACTGTTTAACATTTTTAGAGCAAAGTAGGTAAAGGAAGATCTAAATGAGTTTAGGTTTAGGCATAAGTAGAAAGTTCTTTGTTATGGAACGGGTGGTGATAAGTCGTTGGGGAGAGCGAAGATATTTAGAAGAAAGATAGGTGCGAGGCCATTTGGTGCTTTGAGTGAAAGGTAACCCAGTTGAAATTTAGCTCGTTGATTGACAGTCATGAGATTAAGAGAGCTGTAGAGAGAATCAGAGGGAACTTGAAGAATAAATTTAAGAGCTCGATTTTGAAGGACTTGGATGTTGTCGGTATGTTCCTTGAATTGAAGGGCCCAGTAGTTGAAATAAGGAAGAATAACTGTTTTGTATATTCTGGAAGTGCAACTTGTTGGGAGATGAATGCAAGGATAGAAATTTTAAATGAAATGATAGATGAAAGATTGTCTTTTTTTTTCACTGCCATGTTAACTTGTTGACACCTCGATGATTACACCTAGGTGTTTGTGCAGAGTGACTTCCTTGATTTACACAAGGAGCACATATATTATTAGCCATCAACATTTGACATTTAACAATATCAGCATATCAAATTTTAAGCAGCCCAACTGTGCTAAAGATTGTACTATTTACAGCCATGTGCATTTTCAAAGTTGTATCTTGGATTATATCGAAAATCTTTTTCTACCAGAACATTTTCTTGGATTGTTTTTACTCTTGCAAGTCACTGTTTGCTGTGCGTGGGGATCAGTATACACGAAATTCACTTATTGTTCCTTTGATTTCTTCCGCTTTTGGTCTTCATGGTAATCCTTCTCAAGCATTCTATCGATAAGTGTTATCATGAACTGGTTAATTGTTGACGGTAACTTTCTCGACTTGTCTTTTTAAGTTGTCATCTAAAATACTGCAAAATATCAGTCCCATACTGAAAATGTCCGCCTGGAAATTGTAATGGTTGTCGGCATTGCCAAATAATTTTATTACCTCTGGAGCCATGTAGGTCATCGTGCCAGCCAGTGTATACATGTAGGATTTCTCCACAGTAGCTCTGAATCAAAAACCTTAGCCAATCCAAAATCAGCAATCTTGGCAACACATTGTCTGTCGATCAAAATGTTGTCGGCTTCAGATCTCGATGTACGATGCCACAATCATGAAGATGTGCTACGCCATTTGCTATGTCTTTGATGAATCCCATATGCTTCTTTTTATCCGGGTGGTTTTTTTTTCAAGAAATTGTCTATAGAGCCATGTTCACAGTATTCCAAGACAATGTTATGAGCAATGTCATCATTGAAGTTATCAATGCATATCACAACATTCTTATGTGCAGCCCTTTTTAGAGCTTCGATCTCATCTGCATCATCATCTTTTAAAATTTGTTTGCCCAAATGTGCGGTGACATTTTGATTCTCTTTAAGGCAAATGTCTTTTTCTTTTTCACTGCTTTATATACATTACCAAGTCCACCGCTGCCTAGACTTTCTATTTTGGAAGTAAAATATGAACGATAATCAGTATTAAATCAAAAGGTAGTGGCCATCAATTGCAAATCAAAAGAAAATTTAGAAGAAATAGCCCGCTCATTTAGGCCTATTGTGATGGAGGCCTATATACATACAGTAAGTACACCCAACCCAAGTTTATCTTAGCTAGATAGTCTAATTTCACTCTGCAAAAGTGGATCCAATATGGAGGCACTAGGACCATGTATCCCCCTGTTTTGTCATTACATTACATGATTTGAAATAAGAAAGTAGTAGAATACAAATTCAATATATACTGTTCTGTTCTAAAGACTTGCAGCAAGGCTCGACTTCGCCAGTCTTTGCAAAGCAGGTAGTAGCCATTGATTACAAATTAATTTTTAAAAACAAGGCCTTGGGCAAAGGTCACAAAAACGCGATTAGCATATTTTACTTCGATAACCTATTCTCATCAAAAAGAATTTAAATATTCATCAATATTATCCCTCCAATAAGGGTATATTAAGAATTTATGGATTATAGACGGTCTGACTTGCAATAAATATTTGAGCTACTGTATATTCAGGTAGCTGTTTTGGTGACTAGGCCATTCTCTACTTTTCAATAATGGTATGGAATGGAATGCCAACAGAATTTTCACATTACCATCATAGTAATTGTATAGTACAGAATAGAGTATATCTATTCCTTGCAACACAGTAATATAGAATAGAAATAATTGTCTCTATTTAATTGCCAGTATATATATTTTAATACACAATGTGGAACATGCTACTTTAACTTTTCCTTGACTTTTTGTGCTGTTGGTCTGTCGTTGTAATCCTTCTCAAGCATTCTATTGATAAGCTTCCTCATGAAGTTTTTAATCGTCGATGGTAACTTGAACTTGTACCCTGGTTGTGTGTTCATCTGAATGCCGATCATTTCTCTCTCAACTTGTTCTTTTAAGTTGTCATCTAAAATACTGCAAAATATCAGTCCCATACTGAAAGTGTCCGTTTGGAAATAGTATTGGCCTTCAGGCATAGGCTTAGCACCCATAGTAAATAATTTTAGTACCTCTGGAGCTGTGTAGGTGACTGTGCTAGCCTGTGTATCAATGTATAATTTCTCCACAGTAGCCTTTGAATTAAAAATTCTAGCCAATCCAAAATCAGCAATCTTGGCAACAGTTTGGCTGTCAACCAAAATGTTGTCTGGCTTCAAATCTCGATGTAAGATCCTGCAATCATGAAGATATGCTAAGCCATTCGCTATGTCCTGAATGAATCTCATACGCCTATATTCATTTGGGTGGTATAGTTCAATGAAATTGTCTATAGAGCCATGTTCACAGTATTCCATGACAATGTTATGAGCAATGTCATCAGAGAAGTCATCAGTGTATATCACAACATAAGGGTGTTCGCTGATTTTGAGAGAATTGATCTCATTCTTGAAAAAAGGAATTCTGTGGGCTGACTTATCAATTCTCTTTAAGGCAAATGTCTTTTTGTTTTTAGTTACTTCATATACATCACCAAATACACCACTGCTCAGATTTTCCACTACTTCGTAGTCCTTCAAAACATTCCCAGGTGATAGTATTAGATTCTTTCTTCCAGTTCGGTATCTATTTTGCGAAGTAAAATAAGAACGATACTCAGTAATAAATCAAAAGAAATCTAGTACAAAGTAAACTCAGCTCGCTCGTTTAGGCCTATTGAGAGGGAGACCTAGATACAGTAAGTACGCCCAACCCAAGTTTATATAGCTAGATAGTCCAATTTCATTTTGCAGGGGTGAATCCAATAAGGAGGCAGTTGGACCATTTGCATCCCCTCTGTTTTGCCATTTGAAATAAGAAAAAATAGAATACATAAAATCAATGTAGGGCCACCTCTGTCCTGCTCTAAAGACCTTGCCAAGCCTTGCAAAGTAGGTAGTACCCATCGATCACAAATTAATTTTTTAAAATAAGGCCTTGGGCCGAGGTCATAAAATGTGATTAGCATATCTTACTTCACAATAACTTAATCTCATGAAAAATAATTTAAATATTCCTCAATGTTGTCCCTCCAACCAGGGTATACTAAGAAGTTATAGATTTATTATTACGGCTTGACGTGCTATATTCAGGTAGCCGTTTTAGTGACTGGGCCATTCTATACTTTTCAATAATAGTATACATGGCCGGCGGGAACCGGGGGGACCGGCCCCCCCCCCCCCTTTTTCTGCAAAAAATAATGTCTGGAGATTTTGACCCCTTCCCTTTTTGGGATTTATGGATTCATGGAAAAAAATCGTATGCAACTACTCAATTTTTTTTATGTATGTATACACACATAAGGCCCTGTCTCTTATACACATCTAGATGTGTATAAGAGACAGGTATTAAATATTGATTTTTAATCAATATTGACATGGTTTACTGCACAATGTACTATTCATTCAAAAAATACTCAACAGCAAGTCTATAGATCAAGATTATTTACTATATTTTAATGTTATTTCTTAACTAGTGCAATATACTTTCAATTGGGAAGTACAATACATTTGAATTATGAAAATACTACAAAAGAAAGGGAACTATTAAAAAATAAGTAAAATATTCTATACAATAACCAATTTACAACCATAGAGCAGCCTATATTTGAAAACTAACTTTATGTTAACTTAACTCTTTAAAAAAAAATGACTTTTTGATGAAATTTTTAATACATGTAATTTTTTTCATTTGTTATAATGTATGTTGTGTGTAAAATAGAATAATACTTATATAAATCTACAGTAGGCCTATTTAAAACCAATTCAATGTTAAATTATTAAACTGTAAATTTTCTACTATGTTTAACTTATGTAAACATGGCCGGCGGAACCGGGGGAGCCGGGGGGCCCGGGCCCCCCCACTTTTTCTGCAAAAAATAATGTCTGGAGATTTTTGTGTGACCGGAAAAAAAATCGAGACCTACCTTTTCAGGACCCGTGAGCTGATTTTTTTATTTTTTTTATTTTTTACAATCAGAAAATTAGAATTTTGAATAACATAAAAGTCATTAAAACACACTTCAAATGTCGGGAAAGCCCATTCCCGCTTTCTACGAATTTAAATTTTCCTGGGGGAGAACCCCCGGATCACCCTTTCTTTTTGGGATTTATCGATTCATGGAAAAAAAGAATACGCATGCAACTACTCATTTATTTATGTAGGCCTATGTATACACACATAAAATAAAA